TGGTACTTATGGCACGTGAAGTTTAATATTTACCAAAAATGTCAGTATTACAAAATGGCTGAAGTAAACAGAATACCAGAGTGAAATTTTTGAACCAATTTGATGACATAAAGTGGTACTTATGGCACATCAGAGTGAAGGTAAAAGACTGCAGAAACTATGTAAGTGCATTGTCGATATTTCCAATGAAAATTGTAGAAAGAATCGTACAAAGAGATTTTGAAGAGAATGATAGGCCAAGTGTGAGATAACGGTTTGTTCTCGTCGAAAGTGTCAAGAGCGACTATCTATTATATCAGGATCGATGGTGATAACATCTGAGAAGTAGAAACACTATCGTGAGCACAGCCACAGATGAGGAACGTCGGCTAAAAGAGCTGACGATTAATTTACTACGGATGGTCCTTCTTCCTGAACGCTTAATAACACTGATCGAATGAATGAGAATTACTTTTCTGATCAAATCTTGTACTTCATATAACGCGTCTTGAATGAAAAGGTATTCGTTGGATCGAGTAAAAAGTGGATTTTCATCGAGTAACTCCGGGAATAAAAAGGAATAAGCTTCGGCTTGAATTGCATCCGTTGGAATCGATCGAACTTCCATGCTAAAGTTTCATCTTCTCTTGGTATTTCAACTTTTTTTTCCATTGTAGAACTGACAGATAGATTTCTGCAAATCGTCGAGTCGAGGATTAATCGAAGGACACGAAAATTGAAAGAACCTGAAAATCACAAATTGAATAACTTGTACCGAGAATTTTCCGGATACGAAAATGTTCGCTGTGACGATATTTAATCGGCATCGAAGGCAAAACGTTATGTAAGAATGAAACAATAAAATAACGCAATTGACCGCTTTCCATGTGTGGAATTGCACTTGATCGACGTCCAATAAATAATTAATTCCAATTTGAGAGAGCAAGAATGACGGACGGAAAGTAACCATCGCTATCGATCGCCAAGTTTCAGACCATCTTTGGAACAAAAAACGGACAAAATCAACACGAAGTTAATCAAAGTTATACTTTGATGAGAACGACTGAACCGATGGGAGGTAAAACGAATGTTAAGTTTCGCGATGGAAGTGTAAGCAAATGTTGATATTAACTCCCTTGTCTTACAATTTCTTCGATAATTACAAGTTTGCTTCGAATTATTGAATCGTTCCTTGATGGAAATATGAGCAATGTTATTTTTGCGATTTTTTTTAAGGAAAATTCGGAGGATCAAACGTAGAATTCTGTTGCGAACCGAACCGACTAGGCAGAAGATAAAATATGTTTCAACCTTTATGAAATATTGACAAATATTGACGTTAATATCTTTGCTTACAATTTAACCAAAAATTAACCCAAAGAGTAAATCTGATATTTCAAACTAAAAACTGCATTTGGAAATATTTATCATGTAAATCCGATCGAAGCTTTAAGTAAATAATTAGCAAGTTCGAGATATCTCAAATATATGTCAATTGCCAAAACTAAAATTCGCTTGAAATATTTAAACTTTCGCCAATTGTCATTGGTAAGTTGCGATTCTCTGGACAATTAGCGTATAAAATAAATATTAAAAGGTTAAAAGTAAGTTGAGAACCGTCGGACACAGAGTCTGGCAGACAAAAGACAAACGTAAAGTACGTGAAACACAAAGAGGAACAAATTGTGATTACCGGCATGCGTGTTCACGTAACGGATGCAATTTACCACTTTACAGTACGAACTTGAACGAAGATGCTTTCGATACGATTACGTAAGTATTTATACTACGGGAATATTTAAAATTATAACGATTCACGTGGGGCATCTATTATGTAACCATTGATCACTGAACCAAGAGAAACATTCTATTTATGAACGGGATATTATACAAAATAAATATTATCCAAGCATATATTAACACTTTGACGGTCGCGCATTTCATAGAATAGTTTCATTTTTCAATATTTTTTTCGTCTGCAAAAATCGACAGGTTCGATTAACTCATTAATTCCTAGAGATTGAAAATATATCATTTGCAAAATAGTAATTCCTATTATAATTAAGATACATAAATATTCACTTAAGCTAAGTATGTTATAGAAGAGGAAAGAAAATTTGTAAATATAAAAGGCACGGAAAAATATTTACAATCTCTGAATATTAATGGGTTAATGATGCAACAAATACGTGATATCAAAGTGTTGATACCGCGATTGAGACTTGATAATCTATGATCATTCATAAACCAGTTAATTATCATCGCAATCACAGAAAAGTGATACGTGCCGAATAAGAGTCTTATCTCTTTAAATTCTCGTACTCTAATGATAAAGCTTGGAGGTCTTAGGACAAGTTACCGAGTAATCACAATCAGATATGATTCATTGCAGAAAACGCAATGGGTAGAGCATAAACAATTGTGCCATTCATAATGAAACTCGATAATTGTTTAGAGATTTTCATTTCGATAGGAATCCTCTTATTGAATTAGTTTTAATTAAAAGATACCTGATCACTGACGCAGGTGTGTAATATCTTGAAAATGATAAAATTTTATAAATAGCAAAAATTAAGTATTTAATGCAAACGAGCGAAATTCTTGTACGATGTTTCGCATTTAAAAATATGCACACTAGAGTTCATTTTTCCAATTATTTTAGAATATCGTTTTAGAGAATTGGCAACATGGTGCCCTAATAAAATAACAAATTTGCCTATTTATATTTCAATTACCTAGAAATATTATTTTAGACCAACAAAAGGTACTTAGATACCAAATTTAGCTAATTATCTTAAAATACATCTAGAAATATTTACTGGCAATAAAAGGTACCTCAATGATATACCAAATTTAGCTAATTATCTTCCAATTATCTTGGAATATTGGCAACAAAGGTTGTCCCAATACTCATATATTTCAACTACTTGAAAATATTTTAAAAAACAGGCAACAAGAGGCACCAAAAAGAATATCAAATTTTCCAATAACGTTTCAATTATTTTGAAGCAATATTTTACAAAACTAGCAATAAAATGAAATATTAAATTCGTTTAAACGTACATTTCTTTTTTAGAAAACAGCTAAAATTTATCAAAATATCTTAAAGTTTGTTTTAAAAAATTGGCAACGAAAGATATCCTATTAAAATGCTAGATTTTAACTATGAGATAATTATCATGTTAGCAAGTGTGTCACTAGTACCAACATTATACTGTTACGTATATTATGCAGATAGAACTCCGGCCAAGATTCGACCATCTCGAAACGCGATTCCTCGCCAAGAATTTCGCGTCTGTTTGCCTCAACCTATCCTCGTTTCTCGTTTTTCTACCATGTGCAATTATGCACACGTACAATCAAGGTAGCATAAAAGTACCATCCTAAAATACGTCGGAACAAAATAAAAAGCCGACAAACTATTTCGTTCATACAGTAATTTATGTTCATGCACGTACCGTGGCACGCTCGTTTGCGTCAACATTATATTTATACGTTTTTTATAGAATTTAACGCTTCAATATCTTCGATGATCATCACGTAACTTTACAATTACAAACACAACATTTTTTTTTAATAAAAGTCGTACGAGTATTGCGTTTTTAGTACAACTCTGGTTATATTGCCACTTTTACACATAAACCCCCCTTAATTTTACGGCAGGGAAATCCACGCACTTTTTGGCTAACTACAATAATCTACGTGGCGATATAACGAGAGTATTATCAGAACAAATTAGACAAATCGTACGAATTTTAGAAATATCTTTATTGAAAAATTTGTTAATATTAACTGTATCAACGATTAACTCTGTATTTTATGAAAACTTGTTCTACAATTTATATCACTCTAATTAAAATTATTGGAATTCGAAAATTTCTATCCAATTATTTATAAATTTATTTACTTATTAAATAAGTAATATAATACGAGCGAGCACACGGTGCGCGTCTAAAAAGAAAGCCTTGTAATGTAATGTTATTTGCGTTACACGTTTCAATTATTTTGAAGCAATATTTTACAAAACTAGCAATAAAATGAAATATTAAATTCGTTTAAACGTACATTTCTTTTTTAGAAAACAGCTAAAATTTATCAAAATATCTTAAAGTTTGTTTTAAAAAATTGGCAACGAAAGATATCCTATTAAAATGCTAGATTTTAACTATGAGATAATTATCATGTTAGCAAGTGTGTCACTAGTACCAACATTATACTGTTACGTATATTATGCAGATAGAACTCCGGCCAAGATTCGACCATCTCGAAACGCGATTCCTCGCCAAGAATTTCGCGTCTGTTTGCCTCAACCTATCCTCGTTTCTCGTTTTTCTACCATGTGCAATTATGCACACGTACAATCAAGGTAGCATAAAAGTACCATCCTAAAATACGTCGGAACAAAATAAAAAGCCGACAAACTATTTCGTTCATACAGTAATTTATGTTCATGCACGTACCGTGGCACGCTCGTTTGCGTCAACATTATATTTATACGTTTTTTATAGAATTTAACGCTTCAATATCTTCGATGATCATCACGTAACTTTACAATTACAAACACAACATTTTTTTTTAATAAAAGTCGTACGAGTATTGCGTTTTTAGTACAACTCTGGTTATATTGCCACTTTTACACATAAACCCCCCTTAATTTTACGGCAGGGAAATCCACGCACTTTTTGGCTAACTACAATAATCTACGTGGCGATATAACGAGAGTATTATCAGAACAAATTAGACAAATCGTACGAATTTTAGAAATATCTTTATTGAAAAATTTGTTAATATTAACTGTATCAACGATTAACTCTGTATTTTATGAAAACTTGTTCTACAATTTATATCACTCTAATTAAAATTATTGGAATTCGAAAATTTCTATCCAATTATTTATAAATTTATTTACTTATTAAATAAGTAATATAATACGAGCGAGCACACGGTGCGCGTCTAAAAAGAAAGCCTTGTAATGTAATGTTATTTGCGTTACCTATTACGTTCTCCCTTTCACTATCTCACTTTCTCTCTCTCTCTCTCTCCCACTCGCTCAGCTTTTTCTTTCTGCTGCAACTTCGATCGTTAAGTCTTGTCCGATTTGGAAGGAGGACGAAAATGGAAACCACAGTAGTCGGCCACCAGTGTTACCGCAACCATAGATGTAATCCCCCTCTTTCACTCTCTCCTTTCACTCTCTTTCTCGTTCATTCCTTTTCTTTCACTCGTTCGACGATCAGCTGGTCCACTGAAACCATGACCAAGCCATCTAAATCAACTTTACTGGTACTCTTAACGATCACTGGCCAACAATTCAACCACACACAAATCAGAGATATCCCTGTTTGGTGTCGATTGGAATTATAAGGAGGGCGATATCTATGTAGGCTTCCTTTAATTTAGTGCAACGGAGGATCCTAACCGATATTCCTCATTTTATGTGCGAAGACAGAAGAATATTCTCTCAAAATCGAAACCATAAAGTTCCTTCTATCTTCGCACAGAAAAAAATGGACAAAGTAGATGACCTCTCCTACATCTTTTTATGAAAGGAAGCCTAAGCGTCGAGTTAGCCTTCCTCAGGAAAGAAGGTGATATAGGGGAAAGAACCTGCACCATTCATGACCGCCATAGCAGTGTTAATACTCGAAAATCACTCATTCATTACTAAATGACTCGACTGAAATGAACACTAAAATAAGTTGTTTCATGTAAAGCAAGCATAACGAGTGGTAACTCTCGAGTATCAAATCGAGTGGCGTAAGTCTCCTTCCCGTACATTATCTTTTTCCTGAACACTCTCGGACCCAACCGTATAATATTACACAGCGAAATCGCTCGAGCGTAAAAGTACGTGCGAGATCGAATGTGTTAAGGAAGGCTACAGCGTGTATTTGTTTGATAGTAATCTCGACGAGCGTGCAACCATGGATTGTTAGTTATATAATGGCTATGGAAAAAGAAAAATTGAACTAACACGGGTTTCCAGCGATATCCGTTGTTGCTGCTACCGCTGCTGTTGCTGTACTGTTCGTCTCTGTGTAAGTGTTTTTGTTTTCGTTCGAACGGTTCCCTCACGATCTCAGTGTTTATATCGGTACGTTTCAACAGAAAGATTTCGTTTCTCCTTTTGGCCTGTTTCTCGCACCGTTCCCCTTGCACGATCAGGATTGTCCGTATATGTTTACATTCCGTACTAAAAGTGCAGGCTCTATATAAAAGATAACGTTGCTTCATTTTTTTTTGTTTCTTTTGCGCACAGCAACATAAGGCGATATATAATAATATATGAATACTCTTACAATGTATCTATGTACGAACGCCGGTGGTCCTCTATTAAAAACGTTCCAAAAATGAATCCTTTTATATTTTTCTTCGTACTCCGTCGATCGTATTTTCATAAATACTCCTATTTACGCTCTCGCTCTCTCATTCTCTCCATTTCTTTCTTCCTATCATTTACTTAAGGTACAATAATTCAACAACGAGCATCTGCAGCCAGTATATAACGAGTATTTTTTTCCTTTTTTCTTTTTTTTTTAAATAAGATTCACAATATACTATAATAAAGATCTTTCTCTCTCACACTTTCTCTCGCTCTCTCTCTCTCTCTCTTTCTCTCTGGTGTTGTCCACAGCGAACGATCGATGAAAAAGAAAAAGAAAAACGAGTCGTATATAAATATTATTCCAGCGTAATAATCGTGTGACGACTAGCTATTTATTTAAATATACGGATCCGCGGATATCGGTGGCAAAATTGTTCTCAACGAGAATGAAGAAGATGCTCGTACGACAAATAGACAACAATGCACGACATGAGACAATTGATCAGTTGGTGTATAATACCTCCTACTCCTCCCTCTCCTCTTTCTCTCTTTCTCCTTCTTCCGACTTGAATCTTTATGTATAACGTACGTGCTAAAAAGAGGCAGAGGGGCCCGTATAGAACATTCACATAGGTGTGGCGACACGCTATTATGTACAAAATAATTTCGGTCGTTTAATAATAATTGCCGACAGCTAAACTTTACACGCGCCTCCTCCTTTAAACCGGATGATAAAGCCATTTTTAGGGAATACACACATATACGTATATATTAATATCGTCATTCTCAACACGTCGATATATCAGTTACTTGATTTAGAAAAAAAAAAGAAAAAAAACGAATTTTCTCTTGTAAAAGTGGTATTGATAGGTGTATGTACACTCGAGTGCAGCGTGGACTTCTTTTGGTTAAGTATGAAGGAAGGAGCCTCCCACCAATTGCCTTCAATTTGGAGAGGATCCAGAGAGAATTCAGAGAGATTCTAGGAAGAGCCAGGGAGAATCTTAAAAGGCTCGGAGAAGCTGAGGATAGTTCCAAGGAGAGAATAGTGAAAGAATCCGAGAGCGAAACCCAGAAAATCCAGGGAGAGCTAGAGAGAATTTAAACGATCTAAGAAAAATCCTGGATGATCCTAGGGAAAGCTAAGAATGGCAAAAAGGCCAGAAAGTCGACAGAGCTCACAGAGGACCACCAGAACTCGGAGAGAGGTAGGAGAATTCAGGAAAGTTGGGGTGTATCAGGAAAAGCCAAGGAGTACCAGGAGAACTAGGAGAGCCTAACCTAGAACCTCCAGACTCCGCGCATAAGGGATATGGACTAACATGGCGGGTGGTGGGAAACTTCTTTCTAACTAAAAGAAGCCTAAGTTGCACACGACCGTATGTGTGTGTGTGTACGATATTTATGCCCAACAACCGAAATGTAGTTTCTCTGAATATATTATATATCTGTCTTTCTCTCCCTACTTTCAGCGACGCCGTAATCTTTCTGCCATGTACTACATGTTAAGCTCCCGATATACTCTGTGTCCTTTCTCGTATAGAACTTATTACCCCATACACACACACACGCACACTCTTCCCTCCTCTTGCATACGTACACTCTTCTTTCTTACGTTAATTCTTTCTCAGATATATTCCCTCTTACTTCGGTCTATCTTTCTCGCTCAATACAAAGCGTTGAACCATCGCGTATGAATAAATACGCGACACGTGTATCCATCATCTTCTCTACCATCAGTGGAACTTCAAAATTCGGCGAATTCCTTGGCGCACTTCTCCGTCAACGAAATCCTGAGCGTCTCCTCCTCGTAGTCGTCGAAGTTGCTCGTGTCTCCAGGACCTTTGCACTTCGGTATAAACGGCGCTTCTATTTTCTTTTGGAAGACTGCTATCCAATCGGTACTGGCGAACCACTTGTGACCCTTGATATCGTTCACGCCGGCCTTCAGATTGCCGTACCTCTTGGTCAAGTCGACTTGCAATAAATTACGCAGCAAGTCTTTCAAGTCGGAACCGAAATGAGAAGGAAACCGTGGTTTACCGTTCACGATTTTCTCGTAGATCTGTATCGGTTGATCAGCGAAAAATGGCGGATAACCGGCGGCCATCTCGTAAACTAGCACGCCTAGCGCCCACCAATCAACAGCCTTATTATAACCTTTGCTGAGAATTATCTCCGGTGCCAGGTATTCAGGTGTGCCGCATAAGGTCCATGTTCTGCCCTGTACCCTCTTGGCGAAACCGAAATCGGTAACTTTCAGGTAACCCTGGGAATCGATCAACAGATTCTCCGGTTTCAGGTCCCTATAGATTAAGTCGAGGTAGTGGAGGTATTCGAACGCTAGTACGATTTGTGCCGCGTAAAAGCGCGAGTGAGGTTCAGAGAAACGACCAACCTTTCTCAGATGACTAAACATCTCACCTCCTGGCACGTATTCGAGAACCATGTAAAGGTACGAGTTATCCTTGAAGTGAAACCGCAACGAGACCAGAAACGGGAAGCTGATCGCTTGCAGTATCCTTTTCTCGTTCAGCGTGTGCTCGACCTGCTTAAGTTTCACGACTTTCTGTTTGTCGAGGATCTTCATGGCGTAATATTCTTTGGTCGGTTTGTGTTGAACTATCATGACACGACCGAACGAGCCGGTGCCCAGGGTCTTGATCCGTTCGAAGTCATCGAGACCAGCCGTGTTCGTCGGGTTCTTCTTCCACTTGTCCTCGAACTCTTTCTTCGCCTTGTCAAGAAACTCCTTGACGCTCTCGGCAGCGTCAACCTTTTTGTTCGCGGTTGCGGCATTGTTGCCCATCTTAGCAGCCGCGCTGGTACCCGAGCCGGCCAGGGCTCTACGCAGCTCAAGAAGTTCCAGAAGACTGCGTCTTCGTTTTCGTTTATCCTGTACCGTAGCCGAGCCTGAGGCCCCGCCGAACTCCGGCCTCCTCAGAATTTTTGCTACGTGTTCTACGTATGTGTACTTTGATCTTTCTCTGATGACCTACAATCTGTCAATGTTAGCCCTACGAGGGACCTATATACACACTCTGCAAGAGGGCACTAACACTTACGCGAGAACGGGGCACACACGCGCACCGTACGTTAGATTACCTCTTTCGTTTCTCTTTTAATTTCGTTTTCAGATAGGTTCACGTAACAGGAACCAACTGATCGAATGTTTAGGTGGTCCCTTGATCGCACGACAAAAGCGATTTCGCGCGGAAAAATGGGTCAGCATTAATTCTCGTCCGCACCTCGCGCCATCTTCCCTGTCAATTGTACTAGCCCGTCGTTGCCGTCCACTAGAGCCGTCTCAGTCTTTCTTTCCTTTTCTTATCCTTCTCTTTTTATTTCTACTTGAACTCGTACGCACTCCCGTTAACGTATTCCGTTCGACACACTGAAACACTGATCGGTGGATGATGGTTTCGGAGAAGGGCGAGAGAATGTCGGTGTTCGATCGCTCTCAACCCTTCGGACAGCTAGCGAAACTGTCGTCTGCTGTACCGTACACGGCACTCACCACACTAAACTTTCGACTTGGACGTGTTAAATGAACATCGCGAACAATCGTGCATTGCGTCTTCGCACGACAAGAAACAATGTACGCGGTACCTCGCACTGAACACACTAAATGTTTTACCGTATTCGCGGATTGACTTTTGAAGCTGTTAAAACCGAAGCAGGCGGCGGGTAGCGGAGACAGTCGGTACCGTTCCTAAAGATGGCGACGCGGCTCTCTCCGCTCGCGAGTTCGTTTGGGATTTCGCACGGATGCGAAAATGACGAAGTGCCGCTCCACGAAGCGAGAGAGCTACTGTACTGCACCAAACGGCTCTTGCTTCAACTTACCGCCGACAGATGTAGCACAGAATCGTCGAACGGTGTCCTCGGCAGGTGCTGCCACCGGACGAAAGCGTTCATGTACTTTGAATTCAAATTATCGTGTTATTTCCTTCAACGTCGTCAAGGTTTTCATATTAGATCTTAAAATATTTTTGTAGTATTCAGAACTTCAGAAACTTATTGGCTAAAAAGTATTTTCAAAAACCGTCGTTTTTTACAAATCGCTTATATGTAATGCACTATTTTTCAATGTTAAATATTTCAAAAATTCTTAAATCTCCAAATTTCGAAAATTAAAAATTTTTTAGTTTCGGAGTATTGGAATTCCAAAGTATCGATATTGTAAAATTTGAAGTTTCGAAATTCCTAAAATTTTAATGTCTCAAAGTATCAAGATATTTCAAGAAATCTCAAAATACTAAAACCCCAAAATTACAATGTTCTGAAGTCCTAACGTTAAAAATTTCAAAGTTTCAAAATCTCAGCCTCAGTCTTAAAATTTTAGCGTCTCAAAATTAAATAAAAAATACTGCTTAGCTACTTTTAAATTTTAATACTTAACACAGCCTTTCATAGAACATTTTGAAAATTACTGTACTACTCTGTCCGGGTTTCGATGTGATCCTCTGACGTCACTAAGTGAAAAAAACAAACCTATATTTATAGTTTGATTCATTGGCGTAATTAGGATGTTTATCTGCGATTGGCTAGATCCCCTAGCTTTGCTAAGAGTGTCAAGTATCCCTCAGTACTAAATTTTAACGTAGTTTTTGTATTGCGAATTAAAATAAAATTTTATACGAGAGGTTAGATCACTAATGATCATGTTAAAACTAATCTTTAGAAATTATCGTTATAAGATTTAGTAATAAAAAAATATATGTATAATCTTGTTACTGTGAGTTAATGAAATTTCTTCGTAAGAACCGTCGAATTTAAAGGTTACGGCGTCGCTTCGTTATTTTAATGAAACTTTATCTCATGGCTACTTCGTTAGATATTAATCCGGCGTTGAGTTTATCATTAATTTGGTGGTTTCATTGCTATTAATAATAATCGATCCGTTTTGTAGTATGGTATTGAACCGTGCTATGCGCACGGAAGGTTGAACACTCGCTGACCTGTGATAATCCTTTAGCGATTAGTTTCTAACTGTAGATAGGCACATAAGCGCAATTTTAGAGCAGCAGATACGGTCGAAAAAGCTACTATAGGTAGAATCGATGGAAGATGGGAACGAACAGGTTACAATCGAGTTAAAAAGGTACGGGCAGGTCAGGTCTTTTTGGATGCACACTATACTTTTGTGTGTAGATCTGATACATTGCATACGCCATATGCAATGAATGTGTTTCTTGTATTAACTTTAGTTTGTTTCTACCCTATGGGATGCGCGCGACCACTCGCTCTATTGATTCCATGACCTGAAGCTGAAAGCGGTGTGCCAGTTTGTCGAAGGAAAGTAGAATCATCTCTGTACCTGCATTATTTTACGAACAGTTCTTTCGAAAACTTTTGTAACCTGTAAAGGACATGATATTAACCCACGCATGACAATTACGGGTTTATTTAAACCCAGCTACGCCAAGAAAATATAAAAAGTTTGTTATGTACAATGAGATAAAAGTTTCTTATATACTCTTTGTGTAGAAAATATAATACAGCTTTGAAACTTGCGTAAAACGACGTTTTAATTACAAGTGAAAATGATCAGCCAGAAATATCCGTCTTTTGAGGGTTATAATCTCTTCGGTATCGGACATCGTATTATTTAAAATAATTCTAATAATATATTAATGCTTTAAGACTGTTATTCTTAAATGTATTTGTATACCAGTTCTTATGTTTCTTTAACCTGTTTGTTTGATGTATTACTTTCCCTGGCACTTTCTAACGCGCAAAAGTAAAGGAACACACGCAACACTATTAAGGCTATGGTGAATAGCAGCGCGACGCGAGAAAAGTGGGAATTTAGTCCAGCGAAATGAAAATTTAGATGCGTGATGCTATCTTTAGTTTGACACTGCAAAGTCGGTGGAAATATAGGTTACTGTCATCGAAATAGCTTGTGGCTGAACACTTCCACTGACCCACTAAAACGAAATTTAATTTTATCGAGTTAAACTGAATACCTGATTACCTTCAACGCTAAAATATGTATTTTGAAACGTTACGGAAGCTCTGTATCGCATACCAACTAAAAGAAAAAACAGTATATAAACAAAAGGATATTCATACATTTCATTCACGTTTGTGTACATGAAGAAGGGCAAAATATATACACACGTAATTGTTCCTTCATGAATGTCGTGTAGTAAATAGATCATGTGGATCATCCTTCTAATGGAAAGTTTCAACGAAATCTGGACTCAATTTGCTTAGATGTCGATGTGTTTTATTGTAAAGCATATTTGAAAAGAAGCATCTGCGTTACTTGTCTTCACCTGCACCGTGCATAAGCAGCTGCTCGGTGTTATCTTCGTGCTTACGTAGACCTCTGGCACGTGGCATATACTGTAGGGCAAAAAATATATTTTTGAACCGACTAAATTGACGCGTTTGCATGTTTTTCGCGAATACAAAAATTCCTAACCAATCTATAACATTCTTTCACATATGTAGGAACAGTTTACTAACGTTTTCTCTGTGTTTTCGAAATTATTACAAAACGTTGACAAGATTACAGAAAGACCTGTTGTGCCCGGACTTTCTACGCCGTGATGTAAGAAATTTTAGAAACGCATTCGATATCTACTTTCCCTCTTATAAAGTTATAATACCGTCTTCTTTTAGTGCATATGTTCTTTAGTAAAATAAAAACTGTAAAAAGAGAATAAACTTGATTAATCGTGTACCAGAAAAACATTTCACGGTATACAATGGCTCTACCTCTACCGCGAGACATTATTTTCGTCAGACCATAGAAACAAAGAAACGGTATTGTTGCATAAAGGAAAAACGATGTTTTACTGTTTCGTGATAAAGGCAACCTGTAACATGGACGTAAATGCAGTGGAGCCTTTCGGTCGGGTGCGTGGATCAACCTGAAAGCATCGCGCACCTTTTAATATACACCGGAAACGGGGCCATACGCGAAACTTCTAGAACTTTCCGTACCCTGTTTCCATTTGCATTAAGTATATAACCCTAATTATACATAAAATTTTGTTAGAACTTAAACAACGCCTTAAATCGTACATAGAATTGAATAATGAGTGCTTTCAAGGTAACGCGGAACAAAACACGAGTTCCTCAAACAATACGTTACCAGCGCCGGAAGCGCGGGGATTTTTTATGAGTTTCGTAAGACAGGATTCAATTGGTCAATACAGTCACCTGGAGGGGGATTAACAAAGTAATAGTAGTGAAGCTACCACTACATACCTTGAATTTTATAACAATTCATAGTTTTAATCAAACATATTGCAATATTTTTCACTTAAAAAAAATAGAAATTATATATAAATGTATTTCGTACCTCAATGATCCGTTGAACTATTAATATAGTTTCATGAGACGGTATCTTGAATCTCGTCGTATTCACGATTAAAACACAGCGCCAATTTTATGTACGTTCTTTTTATTGAGTAATAAATTGAGATTAAGAAATATGGTCGATTAATTTTTTATGTATAGGAATACTAAAGATATTGATTTCGTATAAAGCTCTCTTATGAATATTTTTTCTTCGTTCGAAAATCGTGTTTGTGAGGAATAATTTGTCGAAGGACCGACTCGGGCGCCATCTGTAAACGAGCGGGAAAGAAAAGTGTTTGAAGGCCGCCGGCCTGCCGGCCGGGCCGAGTAACTCGGGTCTCGAGCGAATCAGTGTGCGAGTCTCTCTGCCATTTGCGCGTCGGTACGCGGCTACGCGGCAGTGGTGATACCAGAATTGTACGTGTGCTTACCGGTGCGTAGAAAACGCAGGCCTTTATTAAGTGCGTTTTGTTATTTGAGTGCATTATCGACCACAGAAATAAATCGATCAGCATGGCGGATACAGAAACTAAGTGAGTATTTTCGAATATCTCTTATTGATCTATAACGCAAGAAAATCGCACGCTTCTTCTGTTATGTTCATTACCGAATACAGTAACGGCGGGCTTAAAAGCGTTACCTTGTTTCTCTTAATTATTATTACTTTTATCTTTTGTTCTTCCTTTTTTTTCGTTTAACTATTATAATTGATCGTTATACTTTTTTGAAAGTGTACGTAGTTTTGTACACGGCCACGAGAAAGGGATAACTGAGGGGTTAGGGGGAGGGGATGCCCTCTCTACGCGATATTCTCAGCTTGATTCGTAAGACGCGTTAGGGTGCGTTTAAACTGAGCGAGCGAATGCTCGTTCTTCCCCCACTTCTGCAACGTTCGAACAGAAACGAACATTCTTTGCCTGTCGGTGATTGTTTGTGAACGAGTGCTCTATAGTACACACGAGCGAACGAGCGCGGAAGAGCAGGCGGGAAATATTCATCGGTGCTTGTGTAGCCAACTTGTGTAGCGAACGGTGTTTGCTCACTTGTTCAATGATACTTGTTCGAGTTCGTTCGCTCAGTGAAGACTCAGTATTAATGAGAACACTTCTTTGTAGCGTTCTTTGTAAAGTAGAATCTAACACGATACAACTCAAAATTAGATTTAACGCGATTTGACTCAACTTAATAACATGTGACGCGTCTTTATTCCACGTGAATCAATTCGATACAATTTATTTCGACATGTTTCAATTTAATGCAAATTAATCCAATGAATTGCAATTTTATGTGATTCAATTTAGTAAGATTCAATTCAACACGTTTTAATTTAGTATGAATTGATTCGACGGGGTTCAATTTTATGTGATTCAATTTAGAATGATTCAGTCCGACGAATTTTCCATACGATTCAATTTGACTTCAATTCGACATGAATCGATCCAACACAATTCAGATATAATTCAGTTTGGCATCATTCAATTCGTCATACTGAGTTTTCAAACAAGTAGCGGCATTCAAACGATAATTCATTATAGAAATAAAAAATGTGTACAATATAGTAATAATTAAAATTTTATATTAAAAGAGCGAAAATTAACTACCTATATAATACAAAATCATAATAGTTATTTATACACGTGCGTAATACAAAACATTATATTTTTACCACATGTTTTTATCTACATTAATAAAGCCGGATTAATCATCGTTTGTATTAGAGCGAAAAAGAAAGAAATTTTTCTGTAGAAAACGAAGATAAATATCGTCCAGTGCAGCAGTTTGTAACGGAAAGAGATTACATAGCAATGTAATACAATAGCTCCTTTATACAGAACAACCAAAATTACAAGGAAAATTGCGCTATTTCCGTTTTATATTCGTTTTTTAGTGAAAGAAATTAAAAAATTTTTTGTATGTAAAGTGTAACAAACTACTTAAGGAATATCAACAAATAAGACTGTATAATGAATAGGGGAATTTGATCTTGTCTTATGTGAATATTTTATGATTAGATATGATGTACATGCGACCCTTATTAATGCTCTATTGATTTTATTGGCATTTATATTACTACTATTTATATTCATATGATAAAATCATGAAATAGTTAAATTAAAATCGCACAATGATTATGTATTTCGATTTTCGTCCTGCGCCGCACCGACTTATGAGCGTTTAATCGTATTTAGCTATGTGATGTGACCGAATAGTTTGTTTGGTAGTCGTTTGTTACACTAAACAAGCGCGAACGAATGCTCCTGCTCTCGCTCGTTTAGTTTAAACGCACCCTTACGTTCTCAGGCTTACCTGCTTTTGCCATGATACGTGCTCTACTTGCTGAGTCGCTTTTCTGGCGGCATCGTTAACCCTTTTATTCTAGCTTTGAATAAGTAATGTAACGGCAATGTTGCATGGTACACAGTTATAGTATATTTCCTGTTAATATTCTGTTTTATTTTACGATGAAAATATTATGTAACATTCTATAAATCGTTTGATGTTTTTAGAAACGTTGTAAAAAAAGAAATTATAACAACTAAGGACAAGGATTTTGTAGAAACGTTTTCTAATTGTTACTGCGTTATAATCATTATAGAGATATTAAGTGAAGGGAGATTTTGATTAAGTATATATTGACGAGCGTGGAAATATTTGATGGATAATTGTACGCGAATCGTCTTAAAAAGAAAATGGACAACGTATCGATCTGCTCTCCCTTACCAACTAGATGTTGAAGATACTCTTTTCAATTTTGTTTTATTTGATACTTTCGTTACTTTTGTAGCGATAAAAATTGATGATATTTAGGTATATTCAAGTTCCAACCGTTTAAGAGCAAATATCTTTGTGTAACATTGATGTATATTTACGGTCCACGATCATCTACGATTTGCCGCGCCGAAACATTTTGTATGTGTTGCGTACGTATACGTTGTTCTGTTGATGGAGAGGGATGCAAGGAGGGAAAGACGAAGGCAGGATAATATTAACATCGGTAGGTGCCGCCACAGTTGGCGTCCTATCTCTATTTCTTTTCCTTGTCATTCCATCTTTGTCCGTAGCCATGAAGTTTCAACCGATACCTCGCTGAAGAAAAGAATATACGCGTGGAGCCTAATTTTAAATACATCTATTCCTGTATTGTTTAATGTTTTTTTCGTGTTCTGTTTAAAGTACAATGAGTATGTAACGGTATATTCATACTTTAAATTAAGAATGTGTTATTATTATATTTGTGTTGCTTGTGATACTTAAATCTTTATAAATTATAGAAAATATAATTCAAATATTTTTATATTTTAATTTTTAGGGATACCAAAGTTACTGCAACTCCAGAGAAAAAGGTAATTGAAGAAAAAAAAGAGGTAGTTCAGGAAGTTGACGAAGATTCAAAGGCATCTGAGAATGGAGATGCCAAAGAAGCCAAAGAAGCCAAAGAAAATGGTTCAAATGAAGAGAAAGAGGTAGAGAATAAAGAAGTGGAATCAACAGAGAATGGTGATTCTACAGGTAAAAATTAATTTGAAAGTTTGAATAATATCAATTGAAAGTCACAAATATTATATTAATATGTTGCTTCATTTGATAGATGCTCCTGTTGATAGTTGTTGTATAAAGAGAAAATCAACAACTTTAAATGATTCAACGGAAGATACTGCCACTGATGGTGCCAGTCCTGAAAAGAAAACAAAACTTGATGAAAAGTGCGCTGAAACAGAAACCAATGGAGACACAGAAACTAAGGCCTAATATTTTTTATGTTTACTGCAGACTTAATCCATAGATGCAATTTTAACAGCTAATTAAAGAGTCAGAACATCAAAAATTTGTTATCTGTGCATCATTACTATAAACACATATTAAAAACAAAACTTTATATGTTAATAACTTCTTGTGTTCAGATAATTGTGCGTTTATTATAATCATTTTTTGACTGATCGGTAACAGTATTGCATACATCCACAACATCATCATACATTGCTATCTTAAATTATTGCCATTTATGTTTTCCGTTTTACACGCTGACGTCTCACAATATATGTATATACGAATATATATTTTCACATAGTATTAAATTTACAAAGTAACAAAGATACAATTAATATTACAAATAATATATTTCTGATACGTGAAAGTAGATGATGGCGTGGTGCTTTAAAAAAATGTACATGAAAAATATTTCACGTGGTATTCTCATTCTTTCTGATGCACAGACATAAACATATATACACCTCATATTGGAGATAGAAAAAACAATATTTTTCTGTAAATCAAAATACATTCCTAAAATATATTGAAGGTCATCCAGTGATTATTAACATTTACTGGCGAAAGTTAAGAAACAAATTCTATTTGTAAATTCTGACAACAACCACAACCTGTTTTATGTATGTATACATATATGTGACTTATGTATAATTTAATTTTCAAGAAAAGTAAATTAGATGAGTTGTCAAGTGCGTTCAGGTGCGTTAACATTAATGCAATATAGAATTTAAACAATTTACGATTAAAAATCTAAAATATGTTTAATAAAAACTATGTATTATTCTTTAATTGTCAAAATTTATGTTGTGCTTTTTAATGGTTATTTCATCACGTTAATGTATGATTCAATCATATGTAATTTTTAGCAAAGTACCTGACAATACATAATTGTATGTACAAAGCTATTGGTGAGTAAAAACATTTAATGTTAACTTTAATCAAAAGTTGCATATCAAAAATTTGAAACTTTTGTGTAACTAACATAATAAATAGTTGAAAACAATTTAATATATACTTTATAAATATAATCCGTTTATAATGTTGAACACAGTTCAAAACAAATAATTGGCTTTTACTTTTTTTTTCGTTTGTAATACGTATTATCTTAATATCAGCAATCGTACAAATCGAATTGTGTATTATTTTTCATGTAATAAAATACTTGTGAATTAGGACTGGTGTACAAAATTATGTCAAAATATGTTTACTGGTATTACGAAGTTTATGTATTTATGTTAGATCTCTGTAAAATCATCATTTACAATAATATAAAACAATTGTTACAAACTATTCATGTACAAATAAACCTAAAGAAAATATTCTATGTTATAGTAATATATTAGGCTTATAATAAGTATATGAATAAAATTATAAAGTTGTGAAACATCACGTTACTGTATTTAAAAATTAAAGTAATTTGTTTTTAACTAAAAAAAAACTGCACATATTTTCAAATATGTGCACACCGAAATGCAGTGTCATCTACAGGCAAAATGAAAAATTTGCAGGATTCATTAAACACAACACGTGCAGTGAGCGCTGTTGTAAATACTGTGTTTAAATCATGTTATAAATATTTAAACGAATTTAAGTTTATATTTAATTAATATGTTTAAAAATTAACTGTATCTAGTCATTTGATTTATATAATTTCACAAAATGAGTTCTAAACCGGTTTTCTCCAAACCCGGTAAGTATAACTATTTTAAGTTTGTAGTTATTACAAACATTTCAATTTTTTATATTATACTTCTTTTTATAATATGAACAATTTTATAATATTACTGTCCAGTTATTTTATTGTAACATTTTTTTGTAATTAATGTTATTATTGTATAACATAACCTATTCAACTCTTTTTAAAATTAATGTAATTTTAAACTTACTAATAAAATATATAATTAATCATTTTTAATATAGGAGATAGTATGTGGCAAGAAGATAAACCAGATATAGATGCCCATTCATCAACACAATTTGTATATAATGCACATCATTCTCTTGCGCTTGATATGCAACGTAAACGTTTACCAACATTTCAATACAGAAGTCATATTATTTATTTATTGGAAAAATATCAAACATTAGTTTTAATTGGAGAAACAGGATGTGGAAAAAGTACACAACTACCTCAGGTATTTATTTTAATTTAATTAAATTGTTTGCCCTAAATTAGAGATTACCAAAGTATAAATTAAGATCCATTTTTGAAAATGATAATTTTTTATGATTTACTTATAGTGCATTATTTTTTAAAGTCACAAAGTTTCAAAATTTAAAGTTTTAAATGCCTGAATTTCAAAATTAAAATATTTAATGTGAATCACCAGTAGATTGAAATTCATACTTTGCAAATCTCTGTACCAAATAATAACAGCATTTATTGGCTACAACAAGAACATAATTACAAAATTACAATTTTTAAATTATTAGTGCTTGGAGAAAGGTTCTTACTTAAACTTATTTGTGGTAGAGTTCTAAAAATTAATTTTTGAAAATGAATACATACAGACAGTTAAAATCATGGTTATTGAATTATGTTTTTGTTGCAATAAAAAAGTAATAGATTTGAAGAAGTTAACATAATTCTTGAGAAATTTTATTGTATGTACTAAACTGTTTCATACAAAATTAAATAGCATATCTATGTTGTTTTAATTAAGATATAGGAATAAATGTGATTTTTATAAATCACATTTTTATATTTGATATTTTTCATTTATATTTGATATTTGATATTTTTCATTATATAATATGTAACATATACATATGCTCATATAAAAACAGTTATATTGTACTTCCATAGTAGGGAAGGGATAATCTTATAAATAAGATGTAGCATTAATAACAATTTTATATCAGTTTTTTTTAATCATCCAATTTACTATCACGTTTTATAATTAGTAGTATCATGAAATGACACTTTTATAATTAAACGCTTAAAGTGAGAAATTATGTGATGTTAATACGATTAAAAGAAATGTTATATTTTTATAAATATTAAAACAGTTATAATCAAAACTGTTTTCTTTTTCATTTACTTCAAAAATAAGTTAACTCGTTGAAATATTACTATTGAAGTGTGTAAGGTTATATTTATCCACGTGAATTGCGCCACGCCAAGATATCCCTGAATATCGCTACATTTCTTATTTTGGTGTGAAGTGCTATTAATTACATTCGTAGAATCGATATATTGGAGAGCCGATAATAATGTTGAATAAAAAAGTTAGTCGTTTCTTCAAATGAGTCACGCCATGCATCAAAAGTTAAATAACCATGTTTTATGACTATGGCATATCAGTCATAACATTATAATGCAGAATGTACGATAACATAGTTATTTCGAACTAACAATAAATGAAGAAAGTCTATTCTTCAGCATTATAGACTTAAATGTAACAGTATATATTAGACTTAAATCAGTATTTAAATGTAATGCTGTAACTTACAAATTGTGGTATAAGTATTTGATTGAAGTATATTTATTTATGTAAGAAAGTGCCAAAGTCATGTACAAAATGTTTGGTACAACTACTCTAATAAGCAAGTCGTTCCTAGCACTTTTAATATTATTGACATTATACTTTCTTGGAATGGACCTTTTGCTTTATTCTAGAATACAGAATTACGCTGTGAGACCACTACCAAATAGCACCAGATATGTTTCAGTTATACCATGTGACTTTAATCCATTGTGTACAGTGACTGTGAAAGGATTGATGCTTGATCATCCAAATCATTTTCTTCTAAGCCCTCTTGCTGCTATTATGGATAACTTATTACACATAAGCAGTTCTTGGACATGGGTAACGCCCAATGCAATCAGTTGCTTTCACGTCTTAGTAGCAGTGGCAGCTGGTAAATGTGTTTCCAGTGACTCATTGTCTTACAGACGCTTAGGCGTAATACTTTTTCAAGCAAGGACATGGTTAGATGATCTAGATGGCCATGTTGCCAGAAAAAGAGCAAATATTGATGGTGAACGATCAGATGTTGGTTCTACGGGTTACATCGTTGATGGCATTTGCGATGCCTTGGGTTGTGTCGCTCTAATTATTGGCCTGTATCAGTTTCTTGCCCGAAATTCAAGTAGACGTGGAGGATATGACAAGCTATCACAACTTCCTGTTTCATCGGTTGTGGACCCTGGCAATGTAACTTCAAAAACTTCAAATGGCGCACTTCGTAACATACTACTTATGACCGTCCATTTGTTCCTGACCAGTGCTGCTTGGAATCGATATATATCTTTGTACCAGGATCTTCTTGAGACTGATTATAGAACACCATCAATTAGTAAAGAACGTCTTTACATTAGACAAACAACTATATTAAGAAGCTTATCCTTTTGGGTAATAGTGCTATGCTGGAAGTTTGTGAATTTTCATGCAGTTATGGATTACTTACTTTTGGCGATATTTTTTGATCGTTTGCGTGAATATATTAAACTTGTAAGATGGTCCTCTTATGTAATCATATTACTAATTGTTTATGTAACTGAATTTCATTTTTTGCGGGCCTATACATATGTACAAGGTGTATCATCATTTATTGACGAAGAAGTATCTTCATCTAATGTCTTCATTCAGGGATGACAGTATGAATCTTGGAAGACCCTGTTTTCTGTATTTGTTCATCACCGGTGATATACAATACCCAGAGTAACTCTTGTACATTGAAATTTGCAAATTTGTTTATCTGTAAATCTTGATAAAATTTTTTGTATTTTGTATTTTTCTGCATGTATTTTGTATAAATAACAGACTGATGTATAAAGAAAATGTATATAACCCCTTAAATATTAAGCTTTATCACAGTTTTTTTAAATTTCACTTTGAAAATATTGTATGGTATTGAAGCATTAATATAATATTACTGTTTTATCATAGTTATAATTGCCAAATAAATTTGCCAGATCATTTGAAAATTATAACAGATATAAGCTTATACATTATCTTTTCAAAAGAAAAGATTATTAGAAATGAATACTGGTTCAAAGTACTTAGTAACATACAATAAATCTTTATTCCTTGTTAAATATATTTATATACTATGTTGTAATTGTATCTCTATTTCATGTATTTTACTGATGATACTGTGATCTTTAATATTTACTTCTTAATTGGTTTAAGGGGTTAATGTACACATATGAATCATATTTTAATGGGTATGTAATTATCCATTACATTAAGGATTTTTCTTAAGTGTAATTTTTATATGTGTAGTCCAATTTGAGAAGCAAAATGAAAATTGTTGCATCTTTCAATTTAGTCACTTTCTATCTAAATGAACAATATATTATTATATGTACATGTGGTATATCTATACAATTTATGTTAAAAGATACAACAATAAGCTGGGTAAAATATGTTGATACATGATAATTATTACATATTACTGAATATGTTAAACTGTAATTTCCTATTTATCATTTATAATAATTAACAATTCTTGCCTTATCTATGTATTTTGATGTGATCCCAGTGTTACAAGTTATCTAGTTATAGCATTTGTAAGTTTGCCAGAGTTATGTGGTAGGTTGTTATCGTGCATAAGCTGTTATAACGAGCTTTCGATTAAATCTAATATCAATACAATATTGGACTGCAAAAACGTGATATATGTAATATTCTTCCATTATAGGATTATATTAAACATAAAGGAGATAGGTAGATTCGGGTATATAGAGCTTCGCAGCGACTTTAAAACGCGATGAGTGCATTTAATAATGTACTAACAATCAATTTTGTGTGAAATATAAACTGTACTTACATCATTTGTGATGTTAATTTACTTGGCCTTTGTCCAGTCCATAGTAACAAATGTTTATTCCGAATATTATCTTAGATACTATGCAATTATAATTATTACATTATAATTTCATCTGAACTCAGCGTCGTATGTCCTAAGCATTTCCTATTACGTGACGCACTGGGTGTTTCGTTTTACGAGCTGTATATCGCATGTTTAAAAGGATGCTCTTATCAATTAGCGTGATACGACGTTTGATATTTGCAAATGACTTTCGGTTAATTATCTTCATTTGACGTTTCTAGCATAACGATCTGCAAATTTTAGCGCGCTTACATCTGGACCAATTTTAATTTTAGTAATGTTATAATTAATCATTTATTTCATAAAAGTTATTTTTTATAATATTCTGATTTCGTTGAAAATTTTAATGATATTTTAAATAATTTTATTTGAATCATTTTGTGTAATGGTTACAGTATCTTCTTGAGGCAGGATGGTGCGCAGACGGAAAAATGATCGGCATCACGGAACCGAGGAGAGTCGCAGCCACTTCTTTAGCTAATCGTGTTGCCGATGAACGCAATTGTATTTTAGGCACCGAAGTTGGTTATTCTATTCGTTTTGACAATTGTACAGATGAAACGACAAAAATTAAGGTATCCAACTAGGGACAAAGAAAATTATATCGTACAGAATTTACCTCAAGAAATATTTAAGCTTATCCACTAAAGAAATTGTTAGGGGCGGAATTAGTCTTTATGATTGTTCGTACGCTACGATGGTGGGAGTACCACTAATGCATATAGTGAAACTCCCTCAATTAGCAATATAACGAGAGTCTTCTACATTATACTTCTTAGCGTTTATTGTATTTTTCAAACAAATCAAGCTACATTTACTGCTTTGATTTTACGACCGCCATCAAATTTATTTATATCTTATCAATACTTTTACTTGAGGGTAGTCTAGCACCATAATTATTGTTTTTTAATTTGTAGTACATGACGGAAGGAATTTTACTCCGAGAATTAATGAGTGACCCGTTATTGACCAGTTACTCGGTCATCGTCGTGGATGAGGTGCACGAAAGGACCCTTCTTACTGACATTATTATGGGTCTTTTAAAAAAAATAATTCGGGTAAATTCACAATTATATATGCACTAAGTAGAATGTTTCATATTAAACTGTTTTATCATTTTAGAAACGAAAACGCTTACGAATCGTTGTTTGCTCTGCTACGGTTGACGCAGAACAACTGAGAGATTTTTTTAATACAAATACTACAAAAGATTCGACGAAAGATACTGCAGTGATACTGACTGTTGAGGGAAGACTTTATCCAGTTGATATTTTTTATGTTAAAGGTATGCATGTGATATATAGGACTATGTATTTTAAGATACAGTGTATAATTGCGTATCAAATTTAATTGTAACATTTGTATGCTTTTCAGAGCCGGTAGCAAATTATGTAACCAGCGTTGTGGATACGGCATTGAAAATTCACGAAACCGAAGAATCCGGCGATATTTTAGCATTTCTTACAGGTTTAGACGAAGTAGATCAAGCAGTTTCTCTTTTATCAGAGCATGCAAAGCTTATAAAAGAAGGCAAGCGTAAGTAGGAGTTGAAATGATGCACTAGCTAGCTACCTCATTGTTACATAACCGATTAAGGTTTAAGATAGCTATTATCTCTGTCATTGTGTTGTTCTTTTTCAGAGAAACTTTTACCTCTGGCTATGTACGGATCCCTTCCGAACTCAGAACAACTAAAAGTATTTTGGAGGGCTGCCAAAGACACTCGTAAAGTAATCGTAGCGACAAACATTGCAGAAACATCGATCACTATTCCAAATATCGTTTACGGTAAAGAAAAGAAATAGTTTTTAACATGCAATTTTATTATTTATTAAATATATAATTGTAGCAGTTTATTAACAGTAAAATTTTAATTTAGTAATCGATTGCGGTTTTGTTAAAATACCTTGGTATGAGGTGGAAACCCAGACGAATTCCCTAGTAATTGTTCCTGTATCAAAAGCGTCTGCTGATCAACGAGCTGGTCGAGCAGGACGTGTTCGAACAGGGAAAGCATATAGGTAAATAATTTAATAAACTTAATCTAATGTGTGGCCACGTGGAATTCAAACTTCCATTAGTGTAGATATAAACTGTTTTTAACTCTTTCCTGTTCTCCCTAGTTCTTCTGATCTTCTTAGTTTTCTTTAGAACTTCTTAACTTTTTTCAGCTTACTAAAACTTCCTTGAATCCTTCCTAATTTTCATTTCAAAAAAGCCTTGTATTTCTAAATAACATATGAACTACAGAAAATTGAAGTATAATAAGTACATATTTAAGTTTAATGTTTACATAGATTATATACGGAACAAGCGTATTCTGAATTGTTTGAAGCTACGCCACCAGAAATGCAACGTTCAGATCTAGCACCAGCTATCTTACAATTAAAAGCTTTAGGCATTGATAATGTTCTGAGATTCAACTTCCCTTCCGCGCCACCAAGCAAAAACCTTCTCACAGGATTAGAATTACTTTATGCGTTAGGTGCGATTGATAGTAATGGAGAATTAACCGCACCGTTAGGTCTTACAATGGCTGAAATGCCTTTGGAACCCGTTCTAGCGAAATCCCTTATAGTATCAGGTAATCTTATAAAAAGGATTGAATTTAATTTGTACTGTACTATAGAACTATTAAAAAACTTGTTTCATACATAGGAGAAATGGAATGCTCTGAAGAACTGTCGACGATTCTAGCCATGCTTCAGGTACAAAATATTTTTATAAGACCGGCTGGAGGTCAAGCTGCTATAAAAGCAAGAATAGCGCATAGAAAATTCGAGGTCGAAGAGGGAGATTTATTAACGTTACTTAATGTATACACTGCTTATGAGAAAAATAAAACACCAAGTTGGTGTCAGAAACAATTTCTTAACAATAAGGCATTGAGAAGGGCTACTGAAATTCGAACGCAAATGCATCATATGATGAGGCGACTGGATATACCATTGATTTCTTGTAATGGTAAGGCTAAGGATAATGCAATATCGTATATTACGATAACATTTAATAATAATCTTTTTTTAATTCTAAAGGAAATGTACAGCAGATATTAAAATGCTTGACAGCTGGTCTTTTTCCAAAAGCAGCATATTTACATTATACTGGAGTATATAAAACAGTACGCGGTAATAAAGACTTGTATATACATCCAAACAGTTGTTTGTATACGCTACAACAGCCTCAGTGGTATATATTACATATAAAATTCAGTATTTTTGATGTTTATATTTGTACCAGACTAACGTATTATTTATTTTGTAAGGTTGCTTTTCTGTGAAGTTTTACAAACAAACAAAACATATATGAAGGATATAACTGTGATACAACCAGAATGGTTATTAGAATTAGCTCCTCATTTTTACGAGAAGAAATCCCTTGAACCTATTTAATACGATTTTTGTAAATAATTATGATAATAAAAAAGAGAAAATTTATTGGAATGTATATTATATCACATTAACACAAATTTTATAACATACATGTATGTATGTTGTGAAAAAACTATTTTTGTATTTCAATTTTTAATTGAGGTAGAACATCGATAGTGCTGCCTGTTGATAAAGTAGTATAACGTTTAACTTTACCAACCGGATAAGTTCAGAAGTTTATTGACTATACTTGACTGTATCGATGTTTGGAAAAAATAGCGTCTTAAAAGTTTTGTATGCAATCTGATAAAACGCATAATTAAGGTAAAAAAACCTGCATTAAATGATTTGATGTACTGGCAAAGAAGTTTGGAATAAAATATGTGAAGGTTTTAATATTGTTTCAAGTGGCAAGTACTTTATATTTATGTAGGGAGACGTATGGCTGCATTCCGGACGTGATATTAACCTTAATTTTGCGGTATTTTGCTCGAAATTATAAAAACGAGCAGTATGGCTAAAATTGTTGAATCCTTGAAGAGATTGAGCGTTGAACATAGTACGAGAAAACCCGATGACAACAAAAATGTTAAAAGAAAAAGCGAATTAGTATCGTGTTTAGAAGAAGCAGTATCTCTTGATCACAATTATATTCTTGCTATCTGTGGAACACAAAGGTAAATCTTGAATTTTTTTTTAAAGAATATTTTACATTAAATCTTTTTTAAAACTGCATTACATTCTTTAATTTGTATCAATTCAAAGTTACTGGATGCCTCTAAATAGCTCTATGTAATTTTCCCTCCTTTTTGAATGTGATGTAAATTGTTCCATAATTCAGTGTTTTTAAAATATTTTATAAGCTGATTTTTATATACAGTGATCCAGAATTTAGGATTGGTACAGCTTTGTCTGATCATACATGTATAATATATTCTGTTGGGGAAAGTGTAACTCAGACCATTACTTTAAGTCACAGTAAAGCACCTATTGTTGGGATTCGGTTTAGTCCAACTTCTAGAAATATTTTTTATATAGCAACAAATGATGGACAAATTACAGCATGCGATTTGCGTGCTAAAGGAAAGGTTATTGCAGAGTTTAAAGGTATACATTAAGGAAAAAATAATTATAAATGCCTTTATGAAATTAAATTTAATGTTATTTATGTGGTAATAGTATTTAGTAAATACTAGCTAAAATATATTTATTTTTAGATAGTACAGAAGATGGAAAAATGAAACCTCTTTGTAGTTTTGATATGAGCTGTGATGAAAGGCTTATAGCAGGTGGTACTGAACATATTGGAGGGGATGCATTTATTTTATTTTGGGATATAAGACATTCTAATTCAAAATTAGATGATAAAAATAATCTTCTTGGTGGGTACTGGGAATCTCACATGGAAGATGTGACTTCTTTGGCATTTCATTCTAGTAAACAGGATATCTTAGCATCTGGTAGTACAGATGGATTGATTAATGTCTTTGATCTTACACAGCCATCAGAAGATTCTGCCCTAACTTATTCCTTGAACACTGAATCATCCGTGGTGAGCTAATATTCACGATGAAGCATTAATCTTTGTATAATAAAACTTTAGTGATATGTTCACTAATCATATCTTAAATGAAAGGATAGGATAGGCTGGTTGAATGATGATAACCTTTGGTGCACAACTCATACACATTCACTACAACTTTGGGATTGTGATGGAGCAACTCCGTATGCTAAATTTGAACGTGCTAATTTAGCAATTTCACAGGTTAGCCCTCAGATATTTATAAGAAAAGTGAATTTGATAACTGAAGAGTAAATTAGCAGTATGAAATATTCCTAAATAATTAAATCTTGTATAATTTAAATTATTATTTTAGAATGATGATCCAGATAACTGTTATGTAGTCAGGTGTCATGCTTCAAATGCACTTGAACAACCATTCTTACTAGCAGGTTCCAGTAATATCAAAGGGTAATTTACTTACAATCTAACACAGTTATCATTATAACTATTACTAATTTTATTCTATATATTTGAAATTATTTTTATCTTACAAATTTTTTGTAGGGAAAATTTAAGATGTTTGAATATCATAAATGACCGATTAGAAGTGTCTCATAACATGGTGGGAAATAAACAAATTGTACGCGATAGTTGGTTACATGAAAAGGTACAATTGTAAATCGAATGATATTGTTTAGCATGTATACATATAAATAGAAGCTAAAATTTTTATGTAAATTACAGAGTGGTTCGTTAATAACAGTAGGCGAAGGAGCACTTATAAATATTTGGAGGCAAACGGAAACGAATATTCAACAAAATTCTAGCCATAAACTGGTGGCGAAAATTGGTACTGGCAAAGGACGCGAACGCCAGCATAGGACTAAGCCATATTAAATAAAAAATGATAGGATAAAAATTTGTAAATGCAAAAAGAATTTTTGTAAGTAAATATAATAAACAGAAGAGAAATATCACGTAACATTAACATAATCGTACATTTCCCTCACGTTCTTCTTTATTACAATAACAGTTGTATGTACATTTATAATAAATAGATATTATTTCTTTATGTGATTAATGATTTAACGTATCAATCGAAAAATGTAGCACATGTGTATATAAACGTTAAGGAATGTAAATCACATATCAGTGTGTATATATTTATATATAGAATTGAAACAGGAAGAAAAATACTCGTAAATACTTGTTTAGTTCTGTCAAGTAATAGATCAACTTCAGTGGGATCGTCTTACGGAAAAATTATTTCATTTCTTAACGATTTATTAAAATAGGAGCATATGACGTGCATTTGTTGCAAAATAGACGCATTTAGCGTTATAGCGAGTAAACGATAATTTTGACACAGCATTCAAGTAAATAATATGAAGTTGTAGTTACTCTTCAACCCATTAGCGAGGGCACAGTGCGGTAAAATAAATCAGAAGGCAGTAATATTTTTGAAAGCTACTGAACAATTGTTTGATTATAAAGGTAATTATAAAATAAAAATAATTCTCCTAAATGTTGCATCTATTTATAAAGTAAACTGATGTATTTACATTTCCAGGCAATATAATCAGAAAGGAGTAGTAAAAAGGTGATCTTATGGAATGAAAGTTTGAAGGAATAATGAAGAGTATTTAACACTTTCATTGTTACCTAAAATGCATGAATCCCCTATCAAGAGTTTCATAATTAATTGCATGCACAGCAGACCTACTTACCAGATTATGAATAACTTTGTTAAGTATCTATAAGAATGTCTAATATGCACAGTTAAGTATTCTGTCTAATACAATGAGAGTGTTAAGTACAAAGTATTGAATTGTCGTAACTGCAGAGGCACAGAGCACCACGCTATAGATTGCAGATTATATGACTGAAGTACCAAATGTTTTTAGCTTTATGAATTGGATGGTAAGAAATACATAGTTATGTAGTATGGTACCTCTGACCTCTATAGCGAATGAACATATGTATAGTGACTTTGGTTGGATGAGTCGGGTAGACAATAGAAAAAGTAAGTAACGAATAAAAAGAAAGCAATGAAAAAAGAGGTAGAATGTACACGTATAACAAGTGAGCTGCGAGCCTGTGTGTTTCGTTAAATATATTTAGTGTTAAATTCCCGATTTCATAAACTCGATTTCCTACAATAATAACAATTAATATTAGTATATAACGGCTCTCATTTTGAAACCGTTTAACTTGAAGAGAATTAATGCTGATGCATCGAGTGAACGCGCCTTAAAACAAATACACGTCCACTTATTTTAGATATAATTTTACATTAACATTTTCCAAAGACGATCGCAGTAGCGAGTATCACAATGATAACAGTAGATATAATTTTAGAGTAAAATAGTAGGTACAGAGTAAACGTACAAAAATACTTCCCATGAGCATCAGGGACGTAAAGATTCACTAAAACGTGGAAAACCGCGTTGCTAATAATTCTTTATATCCTTTTTTAAACTTATGCTGTCCTGTGACATCAAACATTCTGGATGCCACACAGACGCATGTAGGCCGCCGCACTACTCCTTAGTTGTTATTCCAATTTGATTCCTCGCATTACCCTGAAGATGGTGTGCGACTTCATTGCATAAGGATAGTATTTAGTAACAATAAATTTCAATGGTATCAGGCTACATTTTTGACTTAGTGCAACATTTTTAATGCATATAAAGAATACCTCCCTTTTCTCCTTTTTAGTATGAGTGTATATTATTTATGTTTAAATATCTATCTGGAATGATTTTTTGGAATTATATTTTACTGTTAAAACTTACTCTTGATATATGTTTCATGTTTTTTTCTTATAATGTTAAGGATGTTTTCATTCGTATCAAGTGTTCTTGAAATGAAGTCGAACACTCATCCATAGAGGCTATTAACAAATTAATACAATATCATTTATGAGCTGATATATACTCGGCATTTTAGTAATAGACTTGTAAGAACTTGTTATGTTTTTTTCTTGCTCTCACGCTTTACATCTTATTGGAAATACTCTTTTTAAGAACTATTGTCACCACGATTGATTGAGACAAATTTATACCATTATTTATGTTTCCTTATGAAGATAAATTAATTAGTCACATGTTTTAACATCGTGCCTCGACGACGCTGCCCTTTATTAGATCATATTGCACGCTACAGCATCTTGTGAGGCGAATATGCACGACTTCACACGCATATACGTATTAAAACAGAAATTCTGATTTTAACATAACAATCTACATTCTAGAATCACGCTTTCCATATTCAACATATTTCAATTTCAAATAAAATGTTCACCTTTACGGTTAACAAATAACGTAATTAAAATTAATTTTAAACGTGCAGTATGATCAATCTTCTTTTTTTTTTAATATTTTCTTTGAAACGGATTCCATTTTCATAAAATACTCTAAATATTTTTTCACTGAAAAAAAGCCTCGTATAAATAAAACTTTTCTGACGATATCAAGGATTATTACAATTATTAATGATCTTACGCGATGCAATAAATAAAATAATTTGTAGATAATTAAAAAAAGGAAGAAAAATGATTACATAATAGTAACGACAATGGCAGTGAATAATCTCGAAGCAAAATATCAAATATAAAACATTATTTGGATCGCTGTTCGTTTGATCAAATTAAAACGATTACTTCCATCAAGAGGAATGATATAATGATAGCGGAAAATCATAATCGATCTGTGACTTGGCACACGATAACAATAATTCATTATTGTTAATAATAAATCTTATCCGTCGTTTTAGCACGTATTAAAATACTTTTAGAGTAAATGGTATAAGAATAACGCGCTCATTCACGTATTCGTAACACGTACATGCATACACATCTACAGGAGCATACGCGTACATTTTATTTTTTTAATAAAACGAAACTGTACACGTACACGTATACGTACATTCATTAAATCGCATTCACACGCACGCATATATACTTCCGCGCGTTTTTCAGCATACGTACAAGTAAGGTCATACATATGTCATGAAAAAAGTATATATATATACACATCCATGTATATGCAATGCTAATATAATGTAATTCTCTACCTTGCCTTTTTTTCAGCAAGCAGTAACAGATTTGCTTAAAAGATTCGTCTAAAATCATGTCTCTAAAACTGTCAGTCGGCTTAACCTGTTAACTGGATTATTCTTCAAGCAGGAAAAGAGTTATCTCCCTCTCGCAAATGTGATAAAAAGTGAGCGAAGAAGAGTTCATTTGTCTTGTACGCTGCAACATAAGCTTCTCTTAGTTACGGATAAATGTGAGGGGGAGAAGCCTCCCATCACTTGCCTTTGGTCTTGAGAAAATATAAGGAGATTCTAGGTAGAGCTAAGAGAGGATAGCTGTGAAAGCTGGAAGAGGCAGGGAGATCATAGGTAGGATCCAAGGAAAGTTTGGGAAAATCCAAATTGATCCTAAAGAAACAGAATCAAGAGCTAAACCTAGAACCTCCTGCTTCTGCACATAAAGAATATGGACAAATAAAGCGGATGGTAGGACATTTTTCCAATACATTTCCTTTTAACTAAAAGAAGCCTAAATTGCATCTTACCATGCGTAACTATCTATGCTACTACGATGAATTTATTTTTCAATGTATGAGTATAACAATATTATTAAAGGCAAAAATCTGTCGGTAATTACATTATCAGACAAACAACGAATTAACTCGTCTTCCCCGGTTAACAGGTTAATAACATAACGAGCAAGGATTCAACAAGATCGGCTGATCTATCTGATTAAGTCAACCCTTTTAATACTTCTTTTTTTCTCTCCCATGAATATTTCTGAGCATTAATTGTTACCTTCTTTTATTTGTCCACATAAGTTATAATTATGTTTTTCATTTTAATAGTAGGTTCAGTGAGACTTTGCATAAAAATTATATTATTGCCCTCGGTAGCAGTTGGAAAGTAACGTTATCTTTTATCAATTTATCGAGAATAATATGTATGTTTTCTTATTGACAGTCACGCCATTGTTATGGACACGATAAATGCATCGCTTATGTACTATGTTGCATTTAAATATACAGTAGAAATAAAACTGTTATCAAGACAGGAAAAGATAAAATACGGAAATACGAATAAGGAAGAGGCGAGGAAGAAGAAAATACGGGAGTAAAACTACGTATAAACAGAAGGAGAAGAAAGAAAAATTGGAAGGAACGGCCATCTATGACAGAAATAATTAAAGGTTCTTACCGAGAAAATGTTGAAAGTCAAAATGACTTTACACGACTTCTAGGTTGAGCATCTTTTGATTGATTTCGGGAGGGAGTTAGCGTAGAAGTCGGGGTTGCCTCGCCAGTCGCAGGACGAGAAGATCGAGAATGCTTTCGACCAAAACGAAAGAGTCGTCAGAAAAAAATTACTTCCTCTTCCAAAGGCTGTTGCTGTTCAGTTCGTTGGTGTTGCTGTTGATGCGAATACTCTGGAGGTGACCGTGTGATTCGAAGCGAACGATTGGAAGAATGAGTTTGACTCACACCAGCGTGATTATTGCCTAATTCCGGCGAGGAATACGTAGAGCCAGTTACAATTGCTGGACTACTTCCTGTCCGCGAATGTCGATCTGGACTATTGTTGCTTGTACTTCCACTCCTACTTTAAATGAGATAAAAAAGAGTATATTAGAATATTTCTTAATATTAGTCGCTATACGTTATGTATGTCAATACATTATGATACCTAGTATTATTGTTGCTTCCACTGGCAAGTTTTAAAGGCAACTGTTGTTTTACTGGAAGATTACTTTGCACTTTCTGCTGGTTAGTAGCGCTAATTAAATTTAATGGTATCCGCTTAGCATCTGGTTGTGATTTCCTTGACTGAACCGTATCATTTCCCTGTGTCATGTGAGACAAATGAATAGACGCTGAGCTAGGTGCGGTACCTGTAACCAGTGTCACTCCTTGCCGTTCCAACGCTTCCAGTCGTCGGTATAATTGATCTCGTTGCTGTGTCACGTCTCTCTGTTCTGCTGCCAGTTGTTCCCGTTGTCTTGCTAACTCGGCTCGCTCTTCTTCCAATTGTTTTTGCTCTTGTTGAGACTCAGCTCGAAAAGCTGCTTTCTCTCGACTCAACTGATCTTGTAAATTGCGTAATTCTTCTAGTTGACGATTTGGGTTAGGTCTATTATTTGATTTACCCATACTCCCTTCTTTGCACGCGGCTAATTGTGCCTGCAAGCTGTCGATCGTCGTCATCTGATTACTAATTATACAAGCCAACGTATAAACATGATGAGACAAACGAATTGCTGCCCATTGTTGATCTTTATTTACATCTGAGTCTGGGTTGTCTTTTTCGTCCGAACTTTCTTTCAGAAATTCACCTACTTTTGGAAGAGATACCAAAGAATGAATAGCGGATGACTCTCTCAATGGATATTTTTCCTAAACGAAAAAAGAAAGACAATTAAGTATATTAGATTTAATTACATGAATATTATGTATTTACTTTATTGTGATCAAAACCCGCGAATGTTTCAGCTCTTCGAGGAACACAAAGAGCAGGCGGAACATAAGCCTCACTATGTCGTTCTCCCGCAGAACTTAAACTTCTTGAAAGAGTAGCACCACCCGCAGTAAAGGATAATGAGCTAGCCAGTTTTGTTGCTTCTTGAACAGCAGCAACCACCTACAATTATAAATCAGTGTTTTAATTCTTGTTGCGTTTGTATGAAACAATAGCGGAAGAAAAATGTTGACCTCCTGCCGTAACTGTGTGGTATCAGTTCCTTCATTATGAACTAGTCTGTTATAATCTGGAATTTCTTTATCAACCTTTTCTATTCTTTCATTATCGCTACTTTCATTTCCACTCCAAATATTCGCAACGTGTAAAAGTTGCATTTGTAAATTGATTTTTTCCTCCAGTAATAGTGCTTGTTCTTCATCTTTTTTACGCAATTCACCTAATCGTAATAATATAAAACTTTTTAAGATTCTATTTGCATACGTGATTAACAATAATAATAAAGTATACATACCAACTATCTTTAGAACGTGAGATTCTTTAGTCTTAACTAAACGTTGCCTTTCTTCGACAGAAAGTAACGATAAAGAAGATGAACGCGTATCTCTCAATTCGTTACTACTGTTGTTTTCTGTTAACGTATCAGCTTCGTTTTCAGGTTCTTGCGGACAGGCTTCAACGGCAGATCTAATTGCTTGTATCCATAATTGTTTATCCTTGGGCTTCTGAATTTTTAACTCAAACATTTCAGGTTCAGCTGGATTGCTACTTATTAAATAGATTCCCCTCGATTCCTGGCCCGCTTTTTCGCGTACCAGTAATTTTTGAAGTGACACTATACCAGCCTTATTGTCAGGCACAAAGAATGCATATTTTTGATCTCTTTCAGCCAAGAAAAATAATATATCAGAAAGAACAACCACTACGATGGCAGTCATTTTTCCACGACCTTGCATTAAATACGCGGTACCTTCGAATTTTAAGATTCGATTAAATGCCATGATATCTGACTTTTTGAACTTGACACCACGATACGTTGCAAAAGATTTAGCGTCGATCCTGAATAATAAATCAAAATAAGCATTAACATAGCAGTAAGGAATTTTGAAAACAACAAATTTTAAATATAATATTCTTACTTATTATAGATTTCTAATTTCCTATCTTCCCTTTCTTTATCAGCTACGCATGCATCCACGTCAGCTAAAATCTCTTTAACGAGAATCAAAGCTTTGCGTAAGTCTTCTCCTTCTTCTTGTACAATACCCGTTTTTATTAGTGGTTCCACCAGTAACGGATATTTCGTTAAACGTTGAGTAACAAATAGAATACATTCAGGAATTCCCTTCTTTTTCAGCAAAGGGTGTGACTGTAACAAATATATTAGTTATAAATTTTGTTCTTATTTAATAAAAGATAGTAATATTTTAATGTAGGTACCTGGCATTGACGCACGAACCGTGCAAATCGAGGATCGTGACGAAGATAATACTTGTAAGCTTCGACAGCATCTCTGTGGCGACTACAGAATTCTCCATAGGCACTCTTCATACGTTGTGCATTCTCTCCAGAGAACTGATCAACAAGTATATCAGCAATCGTAGGAACAACAGAGTTTGCATTTTGTCGCTTGCGTAATTTTTGCAAAAATCGTAAATGGATGTCGATGAGATCACGTAATCTGGGAAACATGCGTTCTAAATCTGGCTGACCCAAGCGAAAGTGTCGTCGAAGACCTTCAGCAAAAATTCTTTCCATCGCTAGAAGCACTAGACAATGATGTTTTTCCGTAAGAACAAATTCATAAATGTGTTCTTGTCTTTTTACTTTTCGTTCGCAATTATCAACCAATCGTAACGCAACACTGTGTCCAATAGCGGCACTCCAAGAATCAGGTTCTTCTTTAGCTAAACCCAACTCAGGATCCAGACCTTCCAGATCACCAACAGTAAACTGATAAGCATCGTCCAAGAAGTCGTACCCATCCAAACCACTGAAACATGATATACAAAAGAAATAATTCTTAATAAATCCTACTATTTCTTAGCTAGGAAATTAGTAATGAACATTTTTACAGACCTGGATATATCACGATGCTGCCCATCTCCATCTTTCTCTTCATTTATTGTTTGACTGAAAGAAAAATGTAAGTTTATAAATCAAAATACTATTTTCTTCTTTTTAGTTAAAAAGAAAAATGTTACCTTTGCAATACTTTATAGTTTATTCTATAACAATGTGTATGTATGTACTTTTAATGAGTTTTTATTCAACATTATAACACGCTATGATGGTCGACTAATGATTGGTAGATATAACAAATTATATACAATATGCAAGCATAACCTTACTATCATTTTGATACTATTACCTTTCACGTAAGTGTAATTTGCAGAGCAGCTCCTATTTTTCTTTTGTAAATGTATTCGTGTCTATAGTTTAATTGTTTATGTCTTATGTGTATCAATTAGGATTACATAAGACAAAATATAAACTGTTAGAGAAAGACTTGGTGTATTTATTGCTGTTAATGGTCCTACTATAAATGGAATTTAAACTTACAACATAAATAAAGTAATCATTAACAGATGCATGTTTGGTAGACACATTACATTTAGGTCGAGCATGAGATCCTACAAATTTCTGTCCCTAAACTTCTTTAATATCAATAAGATATTATATACAAAAATTTGAAACGTTTTGAACATTTATAATAAATTGTTTCTCAAACAGACTCATAAGTTATGTTTTAACAAAATGATATTTTACATGAGTGAAAAACACTGAGTATGAGACACACTTAGTAACATGGAAGAAGTCATAAGCAAAGCTACAAATTCATACTATGAGATTAGAGTTAAAGAGAAAAATAATAAAGAAACTGATATCAATTGAAAATACGAGATCATTGTGTATTCATTCCTGATGATGTTCGATGAAGATGCTGTTTGACTGTTTAATAATTGTTCAAGTTTGATAGTGAGAGTTCACTATAGTTTCTGGATGAAGTTTTTGATGAAATGTGTACACAAAATATATCACTGAATAAACACAAATAATAGAAGCAAGCATATCAGAAGCATAGGCAGGGCAAGGTGATGTTTTTTTCGATACAACGAAAAAGAGGCAATTCAATTGCCATTTTAAACAATGTGTGCGAGAAAAGAATTGAGGAACGACAGACGCGGGCCATCCTACTATTTTGTAGGATTAATATACGAACAGAAACGTACGAACGCTTCGATAGTATAGGAGGAACACATCAGACATCTGAACTTACTTGACTCCAAGCTTAGTAGCAACTCGCCGCCAAGGGCTGTAGCTTGTCACGGCTTTCTTGCTGTTAATTTCCCTTTAATCGTCGAACAATCGATCGTAGTTGCACAAGAGGGAATGCACGGGGAAAGGAAAAAGCACACACTGCATTAGGGCAACCTCACTTTGCCTTCTGTTTCCCTTCCTTCTTCAGTTTTCTTATTTTATTACGTTTTCATTATTTGTGTATAACAGTCGATAATACGCATCATTTTTTTTATTTTATATATCATAAACCCGTGTAGATTTTGATGTATGTACATATAAATTTATAAAATATGGAGCATTCGAAATTCATTCTGTTTCGTGTTTGAAAATTTTGTAGTTTGTGTGTATCTATGTATACCTTCTTTAACAAAGAAATAGCTTCATTTAATTAGTCATTATTTACTTATGATAAGTGGCATGTTTCATCAATGATACGTCAAGACTGTAACACTGTTATGATCGAAGAAGTTTAGGCATGATTTTTTGTATGTTAATTAACATGTATATGTAAATGTTATAATTAGTTAATATCAAAAACACGCTGAAGCTTGCCATACTATTAGACTAAATTGCAAAATTAATTAGAAACAATAAGCTTCTGAGCCAGCCAAAGCTTCTGCATAAGCAGATACAATATCTTCTCTAACTATTAATTTTTCATACTGTGTATAGAAATTTAATAAGACTTTCTGAAGTAAAAAACGTGAAGTGTAATAGGTGGCTTCTTATCTTGTAAAGATATCTAAATATATTGAATCTATTTTTGATTAGTTGAGTGTATTATAATATCGATGAAAAAAATAATGATAATTGATTTTAAGTCAATTCTTTTGAATACATTTTTATACAAGTCCAATAAACAAATAAAAGTAAAAAGATTAAGGTTCCTTGTTGAGCACAAATGTGTGTACGTATTTTCTAAATTATACATTACTTGTGTTGTAAGTGAAAGGCGTTTTCTTTAAAAATTCTGAGTTTATGCCTAGCCATGCCAATTGCGTGCGAATCTTGAACCACAGATACGCCGATCGAATGCAGGAAATCAATAATTTTAATAGTCAAAATGATTTACCTTCCACTTCCAGATGTTGGTAGAGGCAATGATGCGGTAGATCCTCTCTTAACATTATAGCTACTCGAAGTTGAGGATATACTTGATGTAGATTTGATGGCCGCTTTGCTAGAATGGTGTTTTGATTTAATACATTCTAGCACTAGTTGATCTTTACACCCTTGACTTTGGTGCACGGATACTCCACAGTCTATTGTGACAAACATATTACATTTTTTAATTAACGTATAAAAAGTGTACAAATTTGATAAATAGACCGATACCTACTATCGCAATGTAAAAGTGGTTTATTTGTTGATTGTTTCATACAAACATCACATAATAAACTTCCCTGAGATCCTGCCATTATTGTCGTCCATAAATGCTGTTGCTGACTAGTTTTTTTACCACTCTTGTCCTGTAATTTCATATTAATTTTTATTTTTTATAGATTTATATATTTTTCAATATAATTACGTTACTACCTTTTTCTTACGAAAGAAAATAGAACCTCGTTTTCTTCTAGTTTTCTCTGAATGATGATCGTCATATGCAGCTCCACTGAAAATTAGATATGCATATATGTATAATTAGGTTGTCACAATTCATAATGTGATAATGATTAACTATGAAATCTACAAGCAATAGTTTGGTGTATTTACATTAAGTGATTCAGATATGAATGAATCAAAAATTGTAGCTAAATGCATACGTCACTAAACTTTTATAAGAAATAAAATACACATAGAAAATTCTAAACATTACTGCAGCGTGATTATTATTTTTATACAATAGAAGAAGCTGATACAAACCAATTGTTTTTTCCTCTGTACGTTGTTAGCAAAATTTATTACAAGTATGCGATAAACTAAAAATATAAAATACTCACTCTGTAAGTAATTCATCAAGAGATATCTGAGCATTTGGGGTGCCCTCCCTATCTTCATGGAATTCATGGCTGTGTGGTGTATGAAGATCCTCCGTTTCAGTTTCACTTCCGCTACCCTTTTCATTTCTTTCACGTCGGCTGTACCATGCAGGATGGTAGGAAATTATCAAGTACAAACACAAAGTATGCGACTATTGTGTAAAAGATGCAAATCAGATATTCTCGCGTGGTGTACCACCGAGATGTGTGTGCCATAAAGATGTAGTAGAGTTAATCAAAGTACAAAACACCATTTAGATAGGCAGCAAAGCTTAAATTCAATTAATTTAATATCAAAATAAAAACTATATCACAAAATACGTTCAAAGAGAAATTGAAATCTTGGTAACAACTTTATAAGAATGAATGAATGTTTAAATTTTTGTACAAGTGCATTTCAGATTTAAAAAATTGAAAATTATTTGAATATAATAATAAATGGTGCAACCATGCTAAAATACTTTCATCTACATAATACAAGTTAATGCAAGCATCCTTAAATGTAGGCAAATTTCAAGAATTTTTATGAATGTCGTGATTTGCCATGCATCAATTACTTTTATGTGACATATCACAAAGATTGCAAGCTAGATCATAAAAAATATAAATGATATTGACTAGCAAAATATTAATTAGAAATTCATTAAAAGTATTAAAAATACAATTAAAATTCTTCATAGTTTGATCATTAGTTGATCTAGCTCTGCAATCTGAAAATGTTTATAATTAACTCACGCTGTAAGTGATGGTGTTGTCCTAGTTACAGACTCTGCTAAGTGAACATTGACTTGGGGTGTAACAATTGAAGGCGTTGAAATAGACTTTTGAAGAGGTAAACGAGAGCCTGTGAGTCCAGGCATTAAACCACTACTTTCTGCTAATCTTTGACTACCTTTGAATCGTTTTGCGACTATCTTCTGATATTCACTCTGTTGAAAAAAATTTTCGATATATTTGATTACAAAATTAACATTTGAAGAATTTATCAATGATAGCATTCTTCAAATTACCTGTACAAGATCAGCTTCATTAAGAGAATGAGTACTTGCTTGCGATCTGCATGCACGACTACCAACTCCAGCAGGTCTGGTACAAGGTTTTCCATGTAATTCTATTTCCATTTCACTGTCTAGGCTACTTAAACTAATACTGCGCTGTCGCTGAAAATGTAATGAACAAATATTGAACAGTGTAATAATAAAAAACATTGAAAGCTTTAATAAAGCAAAATGAAAGAAGCAACAAAGCAATTATATTCATGCTACACAGGTACAATGAAAAATGTATTTTTTTAAAGAAATGTATCACACAATATTAACCATGTTTTGTGCTTGCAGGTGATTTTGCCCAGAATATCTGCGACGCCCACATCGAGTATCTTCCAGGTCAGTCCAGCTGCGTCTTCTGTCTATACCTTGTGCATTCTGTGAACGAGGACCTACTGATGGAAAATGTGTAGGAGAACTGTTGGTGGAACAATTAGCAAGGAGATCTGGATCAGATCCTGTATCATTATTACTCGAACGTGGTGCAATTTCAGGTAAAATTAAAGGACACAAGGAAGGACACGATGAAGTTAATCGCTGAGGTACATCATTTTGGGATGTGCGGTGATTATATCCCCAGTTGCTCAGCGTCAGATCTCTCATACGCTGAATGCAATCATGGATTTCATGCAGATGTTGCAAGTTGTCCTCTGCAAGGAGGTGAACCAATTGTTAGCCACAGAAGCACCGAATATCAAGTGGCATTGCGTTCAATGAAATATAATGCACAGTATTATATGTATCAAAAAAACCATAAAAATTTACCCAGAACAGGGTAGTTCTTAGCAAGACCAGGTGAATGAGGTGTGACACTAATAGTTGGCACCAAAGGATTAGGCTGAGTTTGACTGTTAGCGCCAAGTGCAAGCAGTGGGTGCTGCTGCTGTTGCTCATCAGTTCCTTCAGACATCGCAATAGCCGTTTTTTCTGTATTGTCTTTGGTGTAGGTGGTTTCGGTAATTATATTCCCTCGTAGATTCAAACTAGCAAGATCCCCATTAATGATAGCTATACGATCGCAGTCAGAATGCGATGATCCTAGGTAATCAGTTATTACATCTTCCTCGCTATCTTCTCCACTATTTGGACACTCATCTATAAATACATTGAAAACACGTCTTTCTATTAATTATATATAAAATTGTTGCCTTAGTATTTTCTAAATTGTTACTTTAGTTTTTGTAAAACAAGTTATTTGAACAAAAAAAATGATAAGATAATTAATTGCTTCACAAAAAAAGCCGCAGATTTTTAAGTACAACGTGAAACGTCGCACTTCATGAACTGCATCGAGATATGAGAAAACCAATATCCAAATGTCCTCGCGCCTATTGACTGCGGAGCAACAATTGCAGCAGCCTCCCGCTCTCGTGTCATAGTAACGTATAAAGATATATTCAATGAAAATCAGGTCAAATTGTTCCATAGAACGTTCTGTATATCGAATTCACAAATATATCAACGCGAACACGATGTAAATTATTTCGATATCTTCGTTAAAAGAAGTCTGAACTTTATCTCGTTACATTGATATCGGTCACGAATGAGCCAAGGTCGTCTGTCAAATCTAGCAAATCTGGATGCAAGGATGTTTAAGAAAACTGATATAACAATAGGTAACGATAAATAGAGGTAAGTTTATCTTTTTAATCTTATCATTTTTCGATAGAAAAAGTTCCGTCTGATATTTCATCGAACAGTTGCGCATTCAATTTCACTGGGGGAAAATACAAAAACAGCCTGATTTTCATGACACTTCTCATAGAACATTCGCTATCAACGATCAGATTCTATTTTACCTACACGTAAACTCGATAAACCGTTTATTGTCATCTTCGTATCAGGAAAAAGTATATTCGTTCAGATCGTGACAAGTACTTTTCCGGGAAGCAAAGGACAGACACACTGTTGCTTTTCCCCGTAGCTTCCAAGCGCGAATTGATCCGTTGGTCCGCGCGTGCCACCCCACCTCCATGCACCCCCGATCCTTAACCGACCTTCAACCTTCAATCTAATACCTTTACTATCACCTTTTTCACTAACTCTGCTTCTCTCTTACTTCCGCGATCAAGAAATTTTTTATTAGAGTAAAATAGGGTAAACTATGCAATAATTGACACTTCAAACTTAAATTTTATTTTAAAGGATCAGACCCATGTAATGGGTTTGTATTTTACATTTAAAAAAGCGTGTAAATTGATCTATAGAAATAATAGGATAAAATAAAACAATTATTCTAAATAAGATTTATGATTATAAAACATATCATAAAAACAACGAAAAATGGTTCTAAAATATAATTTTTGGTATATTGATTGTAACTGTATATGCCAATAAATGACATATAATAATTTTATATTAAATTAATTAACAAATTATATAAAATATTTGAATTCATATTATTCTAAAAATTACAATTAAATCAGTTTTATATTTGAGGTTTTTATTATTCTAATCAAATTATTACAAAATTTATTATTTTGTATAATGTAGACAACGGTATCATTTAATATCTATTTTGTAGAAAATTACAATAATTATTATATTACTTTTATGTTGTCAAATTTTATTTACTTGTTAATAATATAGAATTGCCATATACATTATGGAAAAACTGCTATATACAGTGGGAATTTTTCATGCTTCATTTAATTTTTATTTAAAAAAATGTAAGATTTATGTATTACCGAATTTAAAAATTTTCAAACTTGGGAATCTGAAATTTCTAAATTTTTTTGAGCACCATAATAATTAGTGAGTGTTATTACTGCATATATAAAAGTTTATGTGATAAGGTGTTTGCTGAAGAAACCATATAATGAGGCTGCATTTATATATTTTTTAAATATTTTTACCACTTTCACTATTTAAAAGTATTTAACACTTTGAATACCGCCCTAAAATCATGGAAAATAATTTCATATAATAATTTCATTTCCAAATTTTATGATATTTAATCATCTTTTATTGGCCAAACTTTTATATATTTTTACTAAAATAAATGTAAAGATGTATGTAAAATTTTTATCTCTCAGATATGAAAAACAGGGTTCTCAAACTGTCAATATATCTTACTAGCGGCAACAAATTTTTTTCATTAAAGTTTTAAGATAAAAATAAGGTTGACATAATGACATTATAATTATATAATTTATAGAATTTAAATATTTGCTTCAAATTTATATAAAAATGATTGTATGTCAAATAATTTTAATCCTCATGTGAACAAACTGGTGCTCAAGTACTTATTTCTATATTTCTCTTTAACAAATTTTCATAAATAATGATCATTATTTAAAATTGTTGCTAACACAAGATTTAAAATTATTAAAAAATAATGATCATACATAGATCTAACATTCATTCCAAAGAAAAATATAAAAAAGTTATTTTCCATATTTTACTAACAGTACAATACTAAAATAAGTAAAAATGTTTATTTTATATAATTATATCCTAACAGAGACTGCACATACAAAATATAATCAGGATATTAACTCTAAGAAACTGTTACATTCCTTTTTTCAAGATTTTATTGTATACAATGATATAAATAAATCTATAATGTATATAATATTGACAGAAAAGTGAAATCACTTAAATATCTTCTTTGTGTGTTAGAAATAAACTTACCAGAAGAAAACGGAGCCAATATTTCCTGCCTTTTCTCCATCTTCTTTATTTCCGACGTTGGATGAATACTTATTTTTCCAAGAACGGAAACTGAAATATTTTAAACATAAAAAATAGCATGAAATTAAATTTACGGTTTCGAAAATATTTCAACAAAGCGCGCAAATTCGATAAACTTAACGTAATAAAATCGATGAAAAACATAACAAACGAAGAGTATAATATAGAATAATATTGTAAATTAATTATTGAAGAAGAAAATATCAGTTATGTCTGCAGTATTTTGAACTCTGATAAGGGCGACGTATATACTTTGTTGCTAAAGGAAGCCGTATTGACAGGTGAACGCTCGACTTAATTATTTTATTCGTTACAACATCCTTTATTCGATGTTCAATAAGATACATACCCGAAACGTGATAATTTTTATATATCCATTAATATTACACGCGGTTTACTATATCTATCTCCTTCATGGGAAAACAAAATGTTGTATCTACCAATCTGTATCATACAATCAAGGCACGTCAACCATTTTGTACTAGCCAAAGTATATAGACACTAAGAAATTGTAGGGATGTGGTAACTGGTAACTCATGGAATCTTTTGGTGGAAATAACTTGAAATCTACCCGCCACATATTAATGTATCTGGAAATGAAAATGATAAAATATTTACATGGGAAACTTTGTACATACCAATAAAATTTAATGAATAAAATTAATAAAATCAATGAAATATTTAAATATAAGTTTGAATTGAGGTTGCTATATTTTAATGATTTCATAATACCATGATTCTAAATTGCAGAACTGATATTGTTAAATACTTCCAATAAATTTATAGCTTGGTTTAGAATATTCAAATATATATTATTCGTTTCATAATAGAACGTACTACTATACGCGCATCTTATCTACCTTCAGTAGGTTCCCTACCACTTGTACAATTCCACCAAGAGAAAGAACTATATAAATGACGGTTTGCGCACTTTCTGATCTACAGGAATTCTATGATCTATTTCTGCCTTTGTAAAGATATAAACGGTGAAAAAATTATACAAACGAAAATCGGTGATGAGATACGTGCATAAAATCAAAGAAATATTGCACTCAATTTTTGTAACATACTTATAAATTATATGAATATAGAGTAAAAAGAATTTCATGAAATGCCTTTTTTCTTATTAAACTATATAATAAAATAGAAAGAAAATAAAATTGGTAAAGTTTAAGGATGTAGAAGTTTTAAATTTAAAAGTTATAAATTTGTAATTATTTTAAAAGGTAATTAAATTCAAACTGAGTGTCAGTGGTTCGTGTCATCTCACAATGGTTTTTTTCTTTCAAAATTAGCTTCCTTCTCATATATATTATCAAATCTAGAAGAAAATGTAATGATGTAAAAAGTATACACATAATAAAAAGATTACGGGGTACATAATATATTTGCTGTCAAATGTGATGCGCGGATGCGCGTTACCCTTAGTTACGAAGCGAACTCGACCAATCAGAGCAGACATGCGCAGAATAAACAAAAACTCGTCGTTTGACGAGTATGATCTACCGTGAAACGAATAATAATGGATTTTATTCGTCATGCTGGTGAATTTTCTTTTTGAAAGCAGTAAAAATATTAAAGTGATTTTAAGTCTGAGCATTTGGCCATACTGATGGTCTGGTCAAAGAACTCGATGATCATCGAATATACACAGAAGTGTCAATGCGAAGAACTGTCAAACTTAGAAAAAGACGTGTCGTGTAATGAATTTGCGTTTTAGTTAAAAGAAATAATTGTTGTTAAAAGATATAATTAATAGAATTTTAATTGTGCGTGAAAGTAATATCGTATTCGGCGTTAATTCTCATTGTTTACTTAAATTTTAAAAGAGTTACATAGATGTAAGCGCGTGTATGTGATATATAACCTAAAAATGCTATATATAGTTCCGAATATAATTTGAGTTTTTTTCATATACCTACGTTCTTTAATTTACTATATCTTTTAATGATATTGCTTGTGCGATATTATGAAAGTACACAATGGAGGTTTCGGAGACAAGAAACCTTGTTAGAGACTTAGATTTAACCTTACAACCTCGTATTGTCCCGCGATATAAGACTTGGCTTCCACTTGCTACTCAGCAGGTAAGTTTTGTGTTATTATTATATTTTTACATGTAGAATAGATGATCAAATTATTACAATTAAATTGTGAATTAAATATTTTTTCTGTTTATAATATTTTTAAGTGTACATTTGCAATTTGTAAACATTAATGTTTTGTAAAGAAGTAATAATAATTCCAAAACGACTTTTATTTTACAATTAATTAGTTTAATATGAAATTGTAAGTTTGTGTTAGTGGCATTAGTAATTTGATCATTCATTGTATTTTACAATGTTTAATGTATTTGATGGAATATGTATTTTTTCAGCTAAGGTTCAGAAACCTTATACAAATAATAGGATGTAATTTAAAAGGAAATGTAAATAATGAAGTTTGTTGGTTTTATTATACTCTACATAGAACAAGTATGTCTTCACCTTTATACACAAGTGAAGCAATTGATAACGCAAATCCAAGATGGTCCAGTCTCGAAGTACCAACTATACATGCCACCGGCTATTCTACTGCCAGTGGTGAGCTTTATAGTCTGTTAGTACCTTAAATGTAATTGTGTGTTCATAGCTATAAATATTTAAGTGAAGTTTTTTTACATTTTATATGTTATATTGTTCTATAATATGTTACTGTTGAAATGTATGTTATATGCATTATAAAAAAAATGCTATACATTTTTTGATAGAAATTATTATAAGACTATGGAAAAGGACAATTGTGGATAATGTAACCAATGACATAACTGTATTTACATGGGGCATATCTTTTACTGGCTTGGCATACATTGGTCCAAAATTACCAAATAATTTAGAAACTGTTTTAAATGAAAATTCTTTAATTTTTCAATTTCATGGTGGTTTTTTTACTCCAGTATATTGTTTTGTTGAAACTCCTGAATTAAAAAGATACTTACATATAAAAGTAAATACATCTGAAATAAAAGATACTTATACTGTGAGTAAACTGAGCAGTTTAAGAAATAAAATGCAAGCACTAAAACAACAAACAGAATCAGTGCAAGCACTTAGAATGCGAATAGCTTCTGGAGATAATTTTCATACCCCAAAATATCCTCAATCTTCGTTAAATAGATTATTTCAACCTCGTAAAGTAAATAGAGAAAAAAAAGCTGAGATACTAAAAATACGTAAAGAATTAGAAATGGCAAAATTTAGAACAAAATTATTAGAACAAGAAAGAGCAAGAAAAATGGGAGAATTAAGAGTGTTAAATCAAATGCATTCTAATATTTTGGAAGAAAATCAAGATTATGGTATGAATTCTTAAATGATTTATCTATTTTACATTGTATCTGCTATAGTTTAAACAGAAATATGTATATTATTGTTATAGGTTCAGATTTGATGGAGAGATACAGGGAACTTAACAAAGATATTGAAAAATTACATGAATGGCGACAAATACAAATGGATACAAGAGAAACATATGTTCAGTTGAGTAGTCAACTTGCTCACAGAAGAAGACAATTAATTTCAGAGCTAAGTTTAATATATCCTATTTCTCAGGTAAGCATCTAATATTTACTAGAGAGAGAAGGAATATAATTCCATGTAATAGGAATATCTTTAATAGGATGGAAATGGAAAATTTAAAATACACGAGGTTTACTTACCTGATAGTGAGGACTTAGAACTATCAAATGATATTGAAGTTGCTGTAGCACTAGGATTCGTTGCACATACTACACAAATGATTGCTAGCTTTCTTAATATACCTACTAGGTACCCTATTATACATTGTGGATCACGTAGTAAAGTTATAGATCATATTACAGAGAATTTACCTGATAATGAGAGACAGTAAGTACCTATCTTTTTATTAAAATGACAATATAATTAATCTCATATATTTTCAGGTTTCCATTATTTGCGCAAAGTAAAGATAAATTACGATTTCGTTATGCCGTTTACTTATTAAATAAAAATATAGCCCAGTTAAGATGGTATTGTGGCCTTCCAACAACAGACCTGAGGGCAACCCTTCCAAATCTTGCTAATCTAATAAACATTAAACCAAATCAATCTTAGTATGTAATAATATAATTCTAATCAGATATTCATAACAATTAATTGTAATATTTTAAAATCATTAAACTATTTCTTTTTATAGTTTGGACAATTCAAAACGAACATACTCTACTTCATCTCTAGACATCGAGATTGGAAATGGCAAACAAAGTATAACACCACCAATACAAAAAATAATTTTTGAAAAATGCCATCGATCATCACGATCTATGAGTCAACTAAAGAATATAAAATCTTCTCTTGGGTCTTCGCTGGATCAAGGTTTAGATAAACCTGTACAATCTCTTGTGTTAGGCAGTCAATCAAAACGAATTTGCAAATCAGAAGAAAGTGCCATTGATAATAAAACATTGGTACTAGCTAAAGATAGATCAAGTAATAGCAGTAATGAAACGCTAAATAATGAAATAGGAAATAATATCGAAATTATGATACCCACATCGGTTTCTAAGTCAACTAATGTCACCGATAGTTTTGAAGGATCAGTGAGTGTAAGAGACAGAAGTTCCAATTCCATAAGTAGCTGCGAAATGGCACTTAATAGCAGTCAAAACGAAGATGACAGTTCAAATGATAACAATGCAATTAAGAAAGATGAAACTCCGGAATCTATTTCAGTTACTAATGAAATTTTAAAAAACGTAAATGATGTTATAGATAATGCTTTAAAAAATGGAAAACATAATGAAGATTATAATTCAGGAAATGAAGTTTCACAAGATTCTGACAACTCTACAATGACAACTAGTAAACAAAATTATGATTTGTATGAGCAAACAGCAATTGCTACAGAAACCAAAACATATAATAAGGAATATTTTGCGAAGTCGTGTTTGTCTTTAGATGATATAATGTCTTCTACTTATGAAGAAAGTGAGCAAAAACAAAGAACAAGTTCTATATGTAGTTATCCAGAAGAGTATCTTTTGTCAAAAGATATGGTACAAAAACGATACAATTCGGAATTAAAGTAAGTATACTATGTCAACAACGGTATATAATATAAAATAATTTATATATATACATATATATATATATGATTAATTGCATTTTTTACCGTAGAAAAGGCAAAGCAGATTCTTTACATTCTAAGAACTGGTGCTATAATGATGTAAATAAAGAATCAGTAGTAAGTAAATGTATATATAAATTTATGGTATTGCATTGTTTCAATTATTAATATATATTATTATTTTAGTTGGAAACGGGATTAATACAAAAAGCACACAAGTCAGATTGTTACTCATATGATGAAACGGACAAATGTGATTTTCAAACATCAAGCGAATATATAGACACTATTAAACGTAGTTCAGAGAATGTATATGCACGCACTGAAGCTTTAGCTAATAAGAAAACCAGTTTTAAAGTTATGAAACCACGACTGTAATATTTGCGTTTTAGAATACAAAACAGCGCTGTTATTGCTCTAATAGTTAATATCTAAATACACCAAATTCAAAAGTGAAAATAGTTAATGCCATGTCGTGCGTAGAAAAAGTTGCAGCTAATATAAAGTTTGTTATTGTGTAAAAATTCAAAACAAAAGGCTTCTATACATTATTTTCCAAAAACATGGATATTTCAATTTTATCTATTATATAACTTATGCGTTTCGTTTGATAGGAATCAATTTGTTGATTATATCACAAATATCTGTTATCAATTTGTACTGTACAATACCTATCTTAAAATTTTAAGAAAATTCGAGATACAGTATGATAGATACACGTTCCAAATAGTATTTATGTACGTGCAATACAATTGGATGTGCGTATTATGTGTTTAATTTTTATGCATGCGTACGCGCGGGCGTGTGTGCGATGTTGATGCAATTAATAGCTGTGCTTTGTATTCATTACACAATAACATAAATTTATTGATTAAAATGCTCATATAAAAGAATTTCATAATGATTCCTACATATGATATCAAGATTAGCATACGTTTATATTTTTTTAATTGTGATATTACAATGTAAAGCTGGTATTGTTAGTATTCCTGTGTACTGGCAATATCGTTAAGTTTACGTAACATTCATGTAATTCAAAATACTATTTGTATATATATATTTAAATAGATTTCAATATACTTGAAATGATTCAATTCAAATGCATTTGGTTAATAATTGCAATATACAAAGTTTAGTATAACTTTATATCTTCTTTAACTACAACTTGCATATTTTAATTACTGTAATGTCAATTAAATATACAAGGACCATTTGGTGTAAATATTGCTTATCAAAATAATTGTGTGCTAATTTTACATAATTTTTAATAAGCAAAAAATGTTAGAACCAAAGAAATACTTTTACACAGTTTCTGTAATGAAATATTTTATTACAATGGAACATAAAAATGTATATATACTATTATAATTTACTATGATTTAGAATACATAATGTATTATAGTAGAAAATGATTCCTTAAAGAATAATTTTTATGTTACATGAGTACAATTCAAAAAACTATTCTTCCTGATATCATTAAAATCTCTTTATTTTTACTGAGTTTTTGAGTGTAATAGAATTTGTAACATTTTCAACATTCTAATAACTTGGAAAGTAAGTACTGTAGTATTTTATTCATAACAATGCAAACAAAAATATGTTAATATTTCTTATAAGATCTATGGCAATAATTTGTTAAACTTCCTATATTATCACATTGCAGTATTTACATATAAAAATAAATATTAAATGGCCACTGAATATATAAAAAAAAAAGTATACATACTAGACATAAAAATATTTAGTTTGAGATCATTTTTGCACTTGTATCCCATAAACGTGATGCAACATCAGGGTCTAGTTGCTTTTTTGAAATGTACAATTTACAATCACGGTAAATATTACCACTTTCATTAGATAATGCTGGTTCTATCGCACAATGCAACACAGTTTGTGCACCCTAGAAAAAGATCAAAATGTAATGACAATGTTCTTCATATATTTACATATAGCACAAAAATACTTACTTGATTTGCAGTACGCAAAAATAATAGAGCAACTGGTGAAAAAATAATGTAATGGAACCAACTCCTTTTAACGTTTCTGAACAATCCTGTATAGGTGAACCCAGGACAAACCATGTAAACATTAACACCAGTATCTTTAGCTCGTTTTGCAAGTTCAATACCAAAGTAAGTATTTGCTAACTTTGAATTGCAATAAGCTGGATTCATACGTCCTTTAACTACCAATCCCTTTTCACCATTTAAGTTTGAAAAATCAATTACTCCAGATTCAAAAAGTTTGGATGTAACAATAATGATCCTATCATAAAAAGATCTTGATAAGTAAATACAAACTTTGTACTTTGCAATGAAAACATTTATTTTATAACAAACCTGCTTGGAGCACTTTTCTTTAAGTGTTCAAACAACAAATTTGTAAGCAAGAAATGACCTAAATGATTTACTCCAAAATGAATTTCAAATCCATCATCTGTTAAAGCATGTTCTTTAAAAGGAACATATACTCCAGCATTATTAATTAGTACATGAACTTCTGTAAAATTTTTTATGACTTCTGTCGCAAATTCTCTAATTGATGAAAATGATGCAAGGTTCAATTTCATTGGCACCTGCAAAGATAAGGTTACAGATTATATGTAATTAGATTCTAAAATTAAATTATAAAATTTACCAGTTCTCCAGTCGTTATTTGCGCATGTATCTCAGACACAGTATCTCTGGCACTTTGTAAAGTTCTGCAAGCTAGAATGACTGTAGCTTTTCTTTTTGCCAATTCCTTCACTGTTTCTTTACCGATACCTGAATTAGCACCTGTTACAATAAATACACGGCCTTGCAAACTGTCTACATTTTTACATTTTCCCCATGTACGTTCACGACATTTTCGAAGTAATCCAATAAATAATACTACTGGCAAAAGAACATAACACCATGAGGATACCATGTTTGCTTGTAGGATTTATATATACATGTGTCTATTTTAGATATTCCGACGAACTGTTTTGCATACAATGACTAACTGAATAAACACTTTTAATCTGTATTTAAGTATACTGCATTGCGACATCTGTATTTAATAAATAAAATAATCACAGGACTTTAGATATCTTCGTTTTATAAATTAACCTTATTTATTAAACGTTACACTTTTGTATTCATTTTCCACTTCATATTGTGATATAATGCAAACATTGACAAGATATTCTCATGTATTTGCGATGACACTCATTGAATATCAGTCATATTTTAATAAAATAAATGTCTCTTTACACACATGTTTTTTAAGATTATCATGTTACAAATTCACTGTCGAAAAATTCATACCGCCAAAGCCAATATGTAGTTCCTCTACATGTATTAAATATACACATGTATATACTATTTGTTTTCAATATATATAATACTGTGCCAAGCTTTATTTTCTAATATTTATAAGTGCACAAATATTAACTTGCAATGTAAACTAATACAATGTCATAAATATGAACAAGTTTGTTTAGAAACTTCTTACAATTTCCTCTAAATATCTTTCCATCTTTGTGTCGATAAGTACGGTTTCTAGAAGTAATAAAAAGTAAGCTCACCAAATCTTGTAAAATAAAAATCTCGAAATTCGAACATAGATGGTATATAGAATAGTATATTTGTATTTATTGTATTTGTATTTGTATTGTTCTAAATTTTGGGAGCAAAATAAGCTGTTCTTATTAAAATATATTATTGTAGAATTGTATTTATAATTTATAATAGAAAATGTGAGGATTGTATGTATCATGAAATAATTAATTAATAAGCACAACTGAGTTCTCATTTTTCGAATAATAAAGGTATATGATATTGTTAATATTTAAACAATCTTATTGTAATATACAACTATGAGAACTCAGTTGTGCTTATTAATTAATTATTAGTTTGTATCGAAATGTACAGTATATTATAATAAGTCGAAATATTATAAATTGCATTATGTTGAGAATTTCACATTGACCTAACCCAATAAAGCAGGGACAAAAGACACATGCTCGTCCAACGACGACCACCACGTGGTCGAGTACGACGCTGTGACATCCGGGCCATAAAACAACCCTGAAGGGCTAAGTTTCGCGGGGACGTAGGAAACATCGCGGCACAGGAAGAGGACATTCTTTAGAGAACATCCGTAGACGTTACACCGCCCCCGGAATCACCCTTACAGAATACAATATAGTATTTTTCAAATTGGACTTAGCGCGTCAATCATTTGCACACCCGTCTTTCAAGCTTCATCTTACAATTATATATTAGTTATTAAACGATTAAAAAATAGGTTAAGTTATGTACTGTATGAAAAGTGGTAAAAATAAAGAAAAATTTATTAACAATCATTGTGTATTTATTCTTACGTAACAAACCCAAGTAAACAAAACATTACACATTAGATAGAGAGAATTTGTATCAAGAAAACATAAGAATTCTTGGAATTTGCGTCACCAAAATTCAAAGAAGTGCCATGAAAGATACCTCTTCACAATTTATGTTCTCCTGATACAAATTTCCAAAATTGGTTGCTGAAATTTTAAAAATCCCGCCCGGGAATTCTCGGAATTTGACGTCATCAAAATTCCAGGAACTGGCACGAGGGATACCTCCTCGCAACTCATGTTCTCCTGATACAAATTTCCAAAATTGGGTCTTGAAATTTCAAAAATCCCGCCCGGGAATTCTCGGAATTTGACGTCATCAAAATTCCAGGAACTGGCACGAGGGATACCTCCTCGCAACTCATGTTCTCCTGATACAAATTTCCAAAATTGGGTCTTGAAATTTCAAAAATCCCGCCCGGGAATTCTCGGAATTTGACGTCATCAAAATTCCAGGAACTGGCACGAGGGATACCTCCTCGCAACTCATGTTCTCCTGATACAAATTTCCAAAATTGGGTCTTGAAATTTCAAAAATCCCGCCCGGGAATTCTCGGAATTTGACGTCATCAAAATTCCAGGAACTGGCACGAGGGATACCTCCTCGCAACTCATGTTCTCCTGATACAAATTTCCAAAATTGGGTCTTGAAATTTCAAAAATCCCGCCCGGGAATTCTCGGAATTTGACGTCATCAAAATTCCAGGAACTGGCACGAGGGATACCTCCTCGCAACTCATGTTCTCCTGATACAAATTTCCAAAATTGGTTGCTGAAATTTTAAAAATCCCGCCCGGGAATTCTCGGAATCTGACGTCATCGAAATTCCAGGAAGTGGCACGGGGGATACCTCCTCGCAACTTATGTTCTCCTGATGCAAATGCTGAATATTTCTTTTTTATTTTTCAACTTTTAAAAGGGGTAATTTCTGGGAGTCGGAATGACGGTATTTATAAATAAATAAATATGCAAATAAGTATTTTTATGTATATTTATTTTAAGCATGTTTGTACATCAAATGTCATAATATATCTTGTTAATAGACGCATGCATTATTAATACTTAATTCTAGGACGCAATTATTGTAGAAATATATATATATATATATATATATTATTGTGCGCTGTGGTACTGGATCTTGTGGAAAGCTAATAAAAATTTGTTGGGAGAATAATGATAATGAAGCAATTAATTTGCCTCTAAAATTTTAAAGAAGACTGTTAGTTGCGGAATATTATGTGATGAATTCACAAGTCGAAATATTGCTTTCTTGCGCTGTGTTAATTGTCGTTCATATTAGGCTTATTTTGATAGGCACTTGCCTAATCTGAACGCCCCCTTATGATGGTTTGCCGCAGCGCCATCTAGCAGTGATGCTTGGAATTACAATTAAATGACGTTCACATTAGGCTATTTTTATATAGTCCACGCAGCGCAGGGTCCACGCAGCGCCATCTAGCAGTGATATGCGGAACTACAATAGAGACTTTGCTGATGGTATATTACTTTTGAAGTGTATACGATAAATTACCGACAGATTCCGGTCGGTACTTTACACTTGTTCATAATAGTTCAGCGGTTTGTTGTTGGATGGCGCTGTTAACAACATTTGTGGCGGTTTTTTTAAAAGATGGTTTCCTTTTTTCTTGGTGTAATTATATGCGTAGCATTTTCAATAATAGAATTTCGGAGGTAATATGTATGAATACACTTCCCTTCGTAATAGGAGCATGTGGGTGTATGAACAGAAAAGTAATGTGTTCTGTAGCTCCTATTATTAACTTCAACGGACGTTTCTACAAACCACCGAGTGTTTTGTGATAACACGGTTTTTAAAGAAATTGTGTTTATCGATAATTACATGTACGGCGAAGGAATCCCAGAACTAGTTTGGCCACTCTGTGTATTCTATTTACTTAAATACACACGTAATTGCATATCAAATTTATTGATTAAAAATATAGCATTTGCGAGTATCGTTGCCTATTGCGTACCAAAAAAAGCTATTTTAATATTTATAGTTTTAATTCTGTACGTGTAATAGAAGTGTATTATATGCAGAATGGGAAATCTGTGCATGTCTTGCTGTAAACCATCAGTTTCATGCGAGGATTTAACACCAGACTTGGTACGAGTACAATTTTTGAGGTTATCAATGTTTTCTTATACGTTTGTTATGTAGTTTACCATAATAATTCGTTTAATAAACTATATATACTAAAAGGGGCGTGGTTATTAATGGCTTAAAAAAGTATTATAGTTGTAGAAACTTGTTTTTAGGAAGTGAGAAGAAAGAAACAAATGGAAGCTGCTGAAAGAAGAATTGCTGAACAACAAAATCGTGGTATCAAAAATATTGATGCTGTCAAAAGACAAGAAAGGTTAGACCAACAGCGGGAGAGACGAGTAGAAGAGGCTGGTAACATGAATGTGCAAAGCAATTTAAAGGTAACAATTAAAAGGCGAAGTTAAATTTTTTAACATTGCATTTTTACAAACAGCATTATCATAAATTTTGTACTGTTTCAGTGGCAAATGAGTTAATTGATGATTTGAATACAAACTGTACCTGTAAATTTATTACACGAGGCATATAATTATTAATTATACACATGCTACACAGAAAATACACATCAATTGATATTATCTCTTGAGCATAATTGGAGACAGTACTAATGCTGCAACGTTTGCATTTTGTGGAATTTAAATATTTAAAGGTTTATACATAAATGTATAGATATGTTTTTACACTATGTTTTCTATACTACTTTAACTATTTATACTGATTGTATTAATATTTTATATAATGTATAAATGAGAGAATGCTTGCAGTGCGGCTATATATGTTAAAGAAATGTAAAGAAAATGATTTTTGTTTAAATATTACAAGTATTCTTTATTAAGATATTGTTTGTTATATATTTTATTAATAAGAAGTTGAATTTTTATGCTTTAAATGTGATCTTATACCTGCATCGGTATAACATCGTCAAGTAAATCTCCTTATATTTTGATTTGTTGCTCATTTTATAATTGTTCATATTGTTAAATGTATTGAAAGATATAGTATTGTTGAGTAACAAAAAAGTATTTACATGTATTCAATGATGTAATTGAAAGCAAAAATCATTCTTTTGCAAAAATAACAAAACTGTAAAAAAGGCTAATGATATCTGTAATGTATTTTTTTTATACTATTACAAAAGTATTCAAAATTATATAAGTATACAATGATTACAATAATCGTAATTGTGATATTGTATAAAATAAAATTGTAAATTTGTGCATAAATAAATTGCTAAACTAAATTAAAATCTAATAATACATATCTTTAAAGATACATCTTAAAAAAAATGTTTTTAAAATGAAATTTGAAATATTGTCTTATACACATTTTATGGTACAAAATATGAATGTTACAATTTTTCATTTTAAAATAATGTATATATATGTATATATGTACACATAATGAACATTTGAAACGTGAAATGAGTACATACAAATTTATACCACTATATTATATTTTTTGAGAGAATATTTGTTTCATTTTTACACTACTATCCTTAGCAAATTTTAAGGTTTGATAAATGTATGAAAAATTTTTAAGAATGTACAATGTTAAAATATGTTATATCTTCCCTATTCTGTGCACAGACCAAGATCGAAATAACTTTTTTGTAGATTTACTTTTCAATTCTTTTCCATGAGCAATTTGTACTTCCAATGATGCTCCATTATTTAATGCTAACCATGTATGAATTTCATCAGTCGCTGCAGAAACACCTAAATATTATTTAAAATACATATATAATTTTGTTCTCAAAATAGTTTCATATATATTTCTATAAATTACTTTGCATGTATACCTAATAATTCATGAAGAGTGATGCGTCGACTAGCTAATAATTCTTTACTGGCACTTCTAATTTCAAATATCAGTAAGGATTGCCTTGGAACATTATCTCCATCTATGTGAAAATCTATGCTGAATTGAGGATTTGGCATTGCTGGCAGTAGTCGAGATTTTGCCAATGTTTTACCAGAATTTGTTGAGGATGCAATTTTATCGGGACTGGTGCATCTAATGAAAAGATCATTTTTGTTAAAAAAGTTTATAAATTAGTTGTAGATTAGTATTTTTGTTTTGGTGTGTACTCACGTTTGAAGTTTAATTCTACAATATAATTGTGCAATGTGTGCAACATGGAGACCTTGAGCTTGTAGTACTTTACCCTCTATTCCAGAATACTTATCCTTGGTACCATTGACAACTTTTAATTCTGGTTTAAAGAAATATTTAATAATTTAAATGAATACAATTTTTATGTAATGTCAACCATATAATTTACAAACCATTTGGTCTTAGCCTTAAACGTGGACTTGGTTGTCTTATTCTTCCAAGCATATCAGGTTGCGATACAGCATGAGCTAAACCAGATCCTTGTAAAAGTTCTGTAGCATCAGCTTCTCCACCTCCTCTTGGTTCTAGGCTTAATGATATGCCTTTTGATTCGTTTTTGTCTTCTATATTTACCTCTGACCGAAATCTACGAAGTTTCAATCCTCTTTTCACCTAAAATCATTTATATAAAATATATTTTGAATACTTTAATAGATATACATATTTTTTTCTGAAGAATATAAGTATAACATGTCAGTATTACATGTGGTAGCATAAAGTAGTAAGATAAACAAATCAGGTTTTGTGGAAATGAACAGACCACTGATTGCTTTAATAAAATATTAAGATAAGTACCTTTTGTTTCATAACGCGGAAGCTATTATATTGAGGTAACTTCTTGCCAAAACTTTGTTCAGGGCTTGGAGTTAAGCTGTTGTGAGAAGACCGTCGTTCTCGTAATTTTGTTCCATCGGTATCGTCAATTACGTTTGGTTCAGATTCTGTAATGACTCTGGGTGTCCACGAATTTTGAGTCCCATTCAGTTCGTTCAAATCTTTATTTTCGATACTAGTTTTGTCTGTTTCAAATGATTTAAGTTTAAAACGAATCATCAACCATGAAAAACGATTATGACTTTTACTATTTGTTACAGCATGAATATTGTAAAATTCCATTTATTTGAAATATTATTAATTGGGAAAAACTATAGAACCAAGTAGTACAGATAAATAGAGTTCTACTGTATCTGTAAGGTAATTTACCAGGTTGACTAGAAATAGCTGGTTTTAATAGAGTAACTGTACGAGGTGGTGGTGGAGGGGGTACAACATCTAAATGCAATCTCATCTTTGATTTTTCCATCGAGGGTCTTCTGATTATGTTTGACCCTGTTTCAGAAGTTTCCATGTTTAATTGCATTGAACTTTCACTGATGTTGCTGGCTGCATATGTACTCTGTGTCTAAATAAAGAAAGAGGAGAGAGATATTTAATAAATTATAATCTGTATAACATATATTTGAGCTAAAGAGTTACTTGATTAAAACAGAAATTCTGTATGTTTCGTACCTCACATTCCTCAGACAAAACCTTGATCTTCAATTCGACAGATCCAGTTTTGGTTCCTCTTAATGTGAACCAATGGGACTGATCGCTGTTAGACAACTTTCTAATTTCGTCGAGATTCAATGATACTTTTCCAAGATAATCTTTCATACCAAAAGTATCATGATCCCATAAGACCTATATGGAAAAATAGTTAGAAGTATTCTTGTATTGTAATTATTTGAAACACAAGAATGAAAAGAAAGATCTTACGACATCTAAGGTTTCGCCTGTTCTAGGTAAACCCATAATGGAACTTTCATCCCAACAAGGATTTAATGTCTTTTTTTTTATACTACTCTTATACTTTGTTTCATTGTTTAACTTTAATTCACAGAAAGGATCGCTGAATCCATTCAGATCTTTTGCTACAAGATCTTTTGCACGTATGAGAGTGACTTCCATCAGTCCACTTCCTGTAGAAAGTAGACTTGATACATCTGATGAGGCAGGATCTATATCTTTATGAGACAGTAATAATTTCTGAAAAGGATTATACACTTTTTTAAAACTTGATAATTTGATAATAAGAATTGGAATATATAAGTATAAAAATAGAAAGTATAGACAAGATATGGTACTTACTAATACAGCTGTACAGTAATAAGTTTGTATTAAGAAAAATTCTATGGTTTTATTAATAAAATATTAAGAAAAAAGTTAATAATGAATTGTGTGGAAGTGATAGAAAAAGATAAGTGTAATTTGTGTTATACTTTATTAGTGAATAAAGAAAGAAACAGACGTAGAATAGGAATGGAAATAGAAAAATAGGTAAAGTAACATAGTTATATTTTAGTATGTACAGGAAATATGGGTTAAAACATTAAAACATTGATTTCAAAAAATACATTTAAAATCATATAGTAGTATTAGAAAGTTATGTTAATAAAAGCATATGATATCATTGTCATTCTCCCTTAGTGTGTAAGTGTGTATGGATGTTGGCATGCATGCAAACGAAAAAAGTGCGTCTTCTTTCACAGAAGATGTGTAAAGCTTTAGTCCTTACAGTCTTTTACATTTTTATTAAATACCAAACTAACCGCCTGTTGCATCCAAGGTAAACTGTTTCTTTTCGATTTTGGTTCATCGTCTGATATTGGGAAAGACATGCTACTTCTTCGGCTGGTAATCACTTGTTGCACACTATTTACGGGATAAAATAAAACGGAAACTCTCATCGTTGACATGTTATATGAACCGTTGAGGATCAAGTCTTTCCTAATTAGCCATGTACTTTCCTATAAAGCAAATACATCGTTGAATAAAAATCTATATACCAAAATTCTTGATTATTGTTTAAATCATACTTGATTCAAAGATAGTATAGCCAGTCCAAGCATTTCGCTGTCAGTCGACTTTGATATATTCCAAGAATATATAACGAAACTGAGGGATACTTGAGTATAATCTTGAACAAGAAATTGTGTCCTGGACTCCCAGCATGGCGATGTAGTGTTTCTCACATAATGTGTGGTTTTCACCTACGAATAAAAACGAAGTTAAACTTAAAAAATAAAGAATTATCATCTAAATTGTCGAACGTACCTTTTTACGATTGTTAAACAACATGCAGTAAGGATTGCACTGAGAATTATCGCTGTTTAAATTTTCAGCTGAATGAATATAAACTACAAGCACCCCTGAAAAATGATATTTTATGTTTAGTAAAACCTAGTAATTATTACCAATGATAGCAATCGCATAATGCAATATAATCACATATAACAAATAAATAAGATAGAGTGATGGAAAAAGTATAGATAAGAATGAAGATAGATATCTAATATTCATGCACGAAAATCACGCAGGTCATCGTGCTTACAATATTCTTAGCATTTTTACCTGCTTTTTGAATCCGATTATATTTTCGCGGCACTGAAAATATCAGATAGGATGATACTCTACTTTCTAATTGAATATTTGTAAGTTCTCAGAAATGCGATTTTTAGTTAACACAAGGCTTTTATAATAATTACCTGCCAGATGTGTGTTATCTTCTGGCAACTCCGGCTGTGGCAAATCTGGATCCAGTGTTGGAAGGGTAGTGTACTCTAACCGGGCATTGATGTTTGGAATGTTAGCACTATTACGGGATGGTTTCTTTTGTTGCAATACGGTTTCAATTCTGCAAAATTAACAATTCCATTTTATATTCTTTGTTACATCAACATGGATACATTGTGCATTTTAAGGAAATAAATAAGAGAATCAATATTGTGTTTTTTTTTTTGTTATAACTCATACTTCCCAAATAGAAGAAATCCAATCTCAAAATATATAGTATACTCTTTCTTTTAATACTATTTCTTTAACTCCTTCTCTCTGAGGGTTGCAGAGAGTGTAGTAGAATTTAGAACATTCTAATTAAAGAAACAGTGTTGAAAGGAAAAGTGTATTACACAACAAGGAATCTCTACTTAATTCTAGACTACTTACACCTGTGAACTTTCCCAGTTATAAGTTCCTAGTGGCAGTTCGAATTGCGCTAAGGTGATAGTACTGACGAGTCGTTTAGCTTTTAATTTGACCAAAATTTTCTCATTATCCAGCGTGCCCACTAAGAAGGAAGCATCCTCGTTCCAGGTAGAATTTAGAGGAGTGGTAACTCGTCTTTGATCTCCTACTGTTACAACCAGCCACCTCACCTCGTCTCCAATGGGGGCTACGATTTAATATACAGTTTCAATAAAATCTGAACAATTTCAAAACTTCCATTGCTTATCTATTACTTACCAGAGCATCCATTTTGAGATAGAACAACTGTAAGTACTCCCTGTGGTATGGAGTTGGCTATAGAGTCCACCTTTGGACCAGGTCGTTCTCGTGCTCTGAGATTTAACTCTAATCGACCTGGATCAACGATCCAGCTGGCCAAAGCGTCCGTGACCACTGCGTGAATCCAGCTCTTAATTAAAGGCATTTCCATCATTTGTACGGTCCGTAGAATTCTCACGCTGAACCAAACGTCCGGTTTCTCCAAGAAACTCACGCTCAAAGAGGTCGCGTGAGGAAACGGTGCCATGGAGTTAAGGGTCAGGGTGGCAAGGATTGTTCCTGAGAAAGACAACTTCTCCACGGCCAAATCGACGTCCACGCCGACACTTTAATTAGAAATGGCTTTTATTGGTGTTTGAAAACATCAAGTACGATATCTAGATTCCAGAGCCAAAGTGTATTACACTTTTCAAATTTTAGAGGAAAGCAAATCAATGATGCAAAAAGAAGATGCAAATGATATTATCGCGCTTTATAACTAAAACGAAATAATTTTTACCATCGGAAAAGTGGACCTACGCTTTGACTCTAGATACTGATTCTGTCGTCAACTAACTCTCTTCCAAATAGCCTGGTCATGATAAGCATACGAAATTGTTCGCAATCAAGACGGACATCAGCTTCCACGGATAATTTTGTTTCTCTTATTTGGCCGTCCAGAATATCATCGTCATTCGTATAATCTAAAGTTCGCACACGTGTCACACACGGGGTCTGCTCGCCAAGTGTGAGTTCTCTAAGTTCCAATGGTCCTAAAACAGTTATTTAAGGATGTAATTTTACTTTGAGAAATATAAATGCATTATGGAATATTTATGTTCAAGTTATTTATTAATTCAGATCAATTCATTTATAATTTAAATCAATTAATTTAGAGTGTTCTGACTCACCAAGTATTCCTGGTTTAGCTTCATTTAACAGAGGTTCCAGCCTTTCCTTTGCCAAAGAAAATATACTGGCAGCACTGAATCTCCACCTACATAAGAAAATAATTATAAAATAATACAACATCAACTGATTCCAAATAAACATTTAAAGCGAACAAAATGTTAGTGTCATACTTTGTATCCAACAACTCATTAAAGTTTAATTAAAAACCTCAATTTAAAAATATAGCAAATAAAATTTTATTTAGATAAAATCTGACAGAATACGTATAAAATAAAGTGGGTCATAAATCAATGTAATATGCAACGTTCTAATGATAGTGATCCATTTTTATCTGATAATGGTTTGCAAGCTTTTAGAACCAAGTAATTTCATCAATACTTTAAGAGATCGATAAGGGAAGTTCATTGAAAACCTTTTCAGTACATTTGATAAATTACAATACTTTTTTTCTAATGAAAAATATTCTTTTATTAGTTTATTAGTTCTTTTAGAGGTTTTATACTAATTCTGTAAGACATGATGCTCGTTAAAAAGATTCTCTATAAAATCGGACGTTACTAGTGAATTTTCTATGCTCTGAAAAATAAAGAATTAAAACAGCCCGACTGGACGTTCAGAAATGTTCGAACAGGTCTATCAACTATCCAAATAAGTAGTACACTATCCGGACAAGCTCTCGCATGTTGTTTTAGCGTCTTCGAGATCTTGACAAACGAGAAAACGTCGGGTAAGTTGGAATCGTTTCGCTCGTACACGATCTACAGGCAGCAGGTGCAATCCGTTGCAACGAGAACATAATTCTTGTAAAAAAATAATTTGTACTACGAATATCAATGAATGTACATAGTAATTTTCATTAGGCATTAAGTTTCATATCGATGTGGCATAAATTTTATCTTGTCGCAGATTTTATACGTAAATATTGCAAATAAAAGCCATAAATGATACGAGCGAAATAATGCGGTAACGAATGAAATAGTTCTAGAGAACAAGGACTTGATATCCACAGTTTTGTCAACTACAGGTCAGCGATATCAGCGTACGTATGCAGTGAAATGTGAAAGGCACCGGTTATACACTCGTGGAATGTGGAATGTTTACAAATACCTATACAGTATTGATTCGTGAACAACGTTCGTTCACCTACAGTGGATATTGGGACCATTAACAATCACGCGATATTCCCATATTTCGATTTCACTGGGGCGAACAAAATTATTTAAAATCGATCTTGATATTGCTAACCAGTTCAGGAAGTTTCCTGGTATTCGAAATTCTGCGTTCAGAGATACGTAAATTATAGTGTAGCAGTTAGATAGCAGAGAAACTTTGAAAAGTTTTTTTCATTTTTTTGTTCGAATTTTAATGAAGAGGCTATTATCTTCACATCACATATTTCTTGTGGAAACTTCAGGTGGTCAGTATTTGTATATTATAAAATTCATTAATTCTTACATTCTTGAATATCCAAAAAAGTTTATAAATTTTTTGATAAATTTTAAATTCTTAAATCTGTAAACTCTAAGTTCACAAATCTCCAAACTCCTGAATGCTTAATTTTCCACAAATCCTTCTTATTAAGTCCTCAAATCTTCAAATCCATAATTTACCAACCCCCTACATTCTCAAACTCTAATTTCCACTTTCACATATTCTCAAATCTTCAAATTCCCAATTTTTCAAATTTTCAAATTCCCAAATTATAAATTCACAATTAATATATTATTCGTACAATTATTAGTATTTCATTATTGTCAATAAACAGAAAGAAGCATAAACTATAATAAATTACAGCAATGCATCATGTTAATTAGAATTTACAATTACAGGGAACTGAAAAATTTCTGAAGCACTTATAACATCAGATGTACCATTTGTTAAGGAGCAAACTCAGCCATTCGGCGGTTTCATCTTTATACAGGGCTCTTCTTCGACGAAATCTTGCTAATTCTTGTTGCAGCACAGATTCAAGGAGGCGGGAGATTCTTACTTTCAGTATTGTTCCTACCAACGCTAACACTAATATCAGCCATGCCAATGATAGCCCTGTTGCACCTATTATCCATGTGATTACGAAGGCAATACCGAGGTACAATGTTCCACGAATGGCTTCTGCGTCCCTCTGCAAAAAATGAGAAATATTCTACTGTTAATACAAACTTTCTGTTTAAAAATTACATAAAATTTAATTGGCAGGAAAGTAAAAGTGAACGTTAGAAAAATAATATAGTTTCTCTATAAATAGTTCGATCACTTTTAAAATAACTTTCCTTTCAAATTATAATATGGATGAGTATGTCTATATTAATATATTAACATATTGATATGTCTATACATACTGATTCTAATTCTTCAGATCTAAGATTATAATTCATACACATAATCTTGTATATTACACATAATGTATAAAATATTTATGTCACGGCAACATTTTACCTAAGAATGAACGATTGTTCATAAATGAATTTAGCAACCCTCTTCATGCAAATATTTAAATCTTGTGTTTCCTCCGACACCGCATTCTCGTTAAACATTTTATTGTGGCGCTAAAACGTTAAAGAACGGAACAAAGGAAAAGCTGTATTGCAATAAAAATCATTATTCCTTCATCCTGCAGGGATATAGGACACGATTCGCGTGTACTCACGCAACATCGCGTGCAAGTACGTCTAAGAAGAATCTTTGGCGTCATGGAAAACGTCATTAACCGCGAGACGATCAGATTAAGTCGCACGGATAAACGTAATTGATTCAAATTAAAAAGTTTCACATTACGTCTGTACTCTGATAAGCAAATTGAACTATCCGTGTAAAAAATTGGGGAAAATCGGACGCGGATTAATGACCGTGAACGTTTATGGAGCGAAATACATTTTGTAATTTGTAGCTCGAAGATCAGAATTTTTTAAATATATTTTTGGATTAAGATGCTTATTATTAATTTAACGCTACTATAGATTTGAAAAGATTTCAAGATTTGACTAGTAATATAAATTTGAATGAAAATGTGTAGAATTTTATGAATTAAATATCTGCGCTTGGGAGTTGCAGAGTGGGTTTCAAGGTCAATTTTATACTTTTAAATGGAATACTATAAATTCGTGGTACTGTGAAAACAGGCTTGATATATGGTTCAAGGTCACGTAAAATGGTTGTTGAAGGAGTTTGGTTTTCTACAAATTAACCCCTTGACTTATGACATCCAGTCACACTCGTATAACAAAAATCGTATTTACAACTGAGTTTTGAGTTCAATACCAGTTACAATTTGTACAATGAAAAATATCTAAATTCAAAATATGTCCTACATTTCAAATTCTGTTATTTTAATATTACAGTCGTGATTAATTATTTTCAACGCAGCTGTCGAAAAAATCGTAGGTTACGGGGTTAAAATGGCGGATACCATTATAACATAAAGGTGTGCTCTATTCAAAAAGAATTAACCTTGAAATCTTTTTTACAATATACATTTAAACTTGCACAAGGAATCTTTACAATAACAATTTCTTTATATATTCAATTATGTATAAATACTCCGGCCTACAATTTGTCTTTCAAGATCACAAAGAAAAACCAGCGTTTACGCAATAGTAACATTACCTATCCTCTCAAGAACGCAACACTTCATTAATTAGAAAGTTGCCTATTGCTGAAGGATCAGCTCTATAAAAACTTTGAGATGGAACCTTGAATCAAGGATATATTAAGGATGAAACACTTCGAAATTTGAAGACATTACTCTTCGAACACAATGGCGTTTAACACTGGGTTTACAAGCCGCGTCATTTTGACACATTTCGAATTTTTTTAGGCAAATGACAAAAACTGTTCGCATTTTATCTTGCACTGACTTTTATCCATTGAACGAGGTAAACATATATTGAAGTCTATTTTCTTCAAAAGCTTTGAAATATTGAAATTTGTTATGTGGTATACCTATCTCTACGGATGTGCGTCAATTTGACGCGATCGTAATGTAAATAAAATTTTTAGTAAATTAGTTTTACCCATGCGAAAATTACAACAATAATAAATATGAATGCACCGACAATACCATATAAACGACGGACTTTGCTAGTTCGGAGTCGCATGCTGCCGGCTCAGCCGGTATGTCGGGTTCGAACCCGGTGTTGCAGTACAAATCGCAATTCACAGAGTAGAGGGAAGTAAAAATATGAATGTAGAGTAATGAAGTAATGTACTAAAATATTATCGAATAATAAAAACTTTCTATAAATATATATCTCATATTTTCATTCCTTACTTGTAGCGTTTATACTGCTTTCTAAGTGGTTTTTCTTTAAATGTATTCGTTCATGCGTCAAATTGACTTCATACAGATAGGTATACAAGAAATGTCCGTAAACCTAGATCGTTTCAATTATTCGACGAAAAAACTTTTCTTCCATTCATCGACGGTTTTCTTTAAGGAATCCATTTATGAATACAACTATCCTTTTTCCTTTAGCGTCGGTAAAGAATGTGACGATAAAAATCACTCGAGAGGTCTCACGAACTCCGGCACCGGAAATCGTTGGAGTTACTTCCCACGTAGACGATAATTTCTCCTTCTGCGTCCGTAAACTGCAGGATTAAGGCATCGTGTTAGATAGATAGGTTTTAAATCTTATTAACGTGTAACTGATTTTTGATGAACAATTGGATTCGAAAGGAAGAAAGCAGCGGTCGGTTCAATCGCTGAGAACACTTCCCGAAGGAGACTGTGTCCATTCCTTCACGATTCGAATCACGTAAATTCTCTCGAAAAATTCCTACTGATACAAGAACACTGGAACTATGTACTGCGTGCAATGCATTTCGTATTAAATGTAAATCAGGCACGGACTATTTACATTCTTTTACCTGCACGTTTTGTACAGAAAGAGTATCATAATTTTTAAAGATTAATTTTGTAGAGTAATTAGTGTCAGGACACTTTTGGAAGACGAGTTTCAAGGACACCCTTATGAAAATTTATAATTTTTCAAGTTGTGAATTTGAGAGGATGAAAATTCTTAAGTTTGAACAATTTTTAGTCTTCGATTTTTTTAATTTAGATATTTATTATATTTCCAAGCTTGCAAGTTAGAAAGTTTACGAACCTTTGATTTTGCAAATTTACTAATTTTCAAATTTAGAAATTTTTAAACTGAAAAATTCTCAAACCTAGGAAATCAGAAATAATTTTTACAAAATTTCAAGGTTATAATTCTTCGAATTTAGAAATTTATTTCAAAGCTATCAAATTAGAAAGTTTACAAACTTTCAATCTTGCAATTTATTCATGCTGAGAGTTGTACTAAATCATGCTGACCTAACTGTATAACAGAATAAAGAGTAATTTCTATTTTACTCTAGACCTCCCTAACGACAGTCCTAGTAAAGTATAATAACTATTATATTAAAGAATATATTAGTAATGCTGCTGCAAATTGATGTTAAAAATGCTATTAAGCGGTACAATTCGCTTATTAACATACTACGTGATCGTTACGGTAACACATTCTTAAAGTAATATATTCTCGCATTCTTTTTAGTGCGTGAAATCTGGGTAGCCTTCGTTCTAATCATTTCTGATCGAGTAATAACGACCATCGCAGGATAATTGACTAGAAAAATTAATCGAAACTAATTCTTGAGATACTTCTCCTTCATAAGATACTGCATCTTCTAGAAGTGTGTACTTTTTAAAAATAGGAATTATTTTCCTCTTTCTTTTCTGAAGAAGTGTACTGATCATTTAATGAAAACTAAATATTAAAAAATAAACATATTTGTAGACTGATTAAACTTTACGATAATATAATTTTCATACGAAGATAATTTCCGTACAAAATAATATAATTTCCACGTTACATAATTTTATTGCCTACAACTTTATTTTAGCAACACACTTTTTTATTTTGAGGTCCATTTGAATTAAGAAAGAGGATAATTATTTTGAACAATAATTTCTCCTGTTTTTTGTTTTATGAATTTATCACTATTATTTTTCATTATTTTCATCAATTTAATTTGATAACAATAATAAATGGTTCAGAAAAATTGGATTGAGAATAATTGGTTCAGAAAAACCTGTGGATCTTATAAGAGATCCTTTCAGATTACAATTTGACGCATGAGAGATAGATAAGTGAATTGTTAATCTTACTTGAGTTTTCTGAGCAATGGCTGCAGCGAACTCATCGTCGAGAGCACTATCGGGGGTCATATTGGCACCCCCAGGTGCACTGCTATAACCACCGGTATTGTTAGAAATTTTAGGTGGACACCCTAATGAAGATGTATAACTGGTTGCAGGATTTCCACCACCAGTACTCTCACGTTTTCCTGTAACAATAAGCAAAAATAAAACATATTAATTACATCCAGCATTAAATAATTAAACATTAATTAAGCCAGCATTTTCAACAGGCATATTTACACATTACTTTCGACGTTTTTTAATAAGTAATTTTGTAAATTAGACGATTCACCTAATTGCTCTACATACATTTTAAACTGTTATGTACAAAAATGACTTAAATAAAAGTTGTTTTGAATGAAAGGAATAACACAGTGTAATAATTAGCTCTAAATTTGTTAGTTTGAAAATTTGCAAATTAGAAAATGAAAACATGTCTAAATTTGCTGATTATAAAACAAGAAAATGTCCAAATTTGCAAATTAGGAAATAAAAAAATTTCTAAGTTTGCAAATTGGAAAATAAGAAAGTGTCTAAATTTGCAAATTAGAAAATAAAAAAATATCTAAGTTTGCAAATTAGAAAACAAGAAAATATCTAAATTTGCAAATCAGAAAATGTCTAAGTTTGCAAACTAAAAAATAAAAAAATGTCTAAGTTTGCAAATTGGAAATTTCATAAAAAGATTCCACACCTAAAGCAAACCTCAGAAACTTTACTTACAGACATTTCCTCATAATTATTAAAAAACAACCATGAAAATTCCAATAATAATTTTTCCTCACAATTATTTACAAGTGTCAACTTCTTGGCATTGTTAAAGTGTCAACCCCTTCTGAATCATTATTTCTTAAACCCCCAGAAAAAAGAAATAAAAGAAGCAATTTTTCAAACACAGATAGGTGTTTTTCCTAAGGTTTACTTAATAACCGTGGTATCGCACGATCATTCTTCCAAGCATAATGTTTTCTAAAACGATGTGCATATCAATTACAATGCACCACAAGGACGAATGTCTGAGGGCAATTAACGATACCGCAATGTGCATACACAACGAATTCAGAACGTTCTTGTACGGAATGTTTGATCCATCTGTTAGGAAAGTTGTCCAGCTCGATTTATGTTCTACGTTGTGAACGTCGCGTGAATCCTGAACGTGATTTCCAGATTAAAAGTGATTTCGTTAGTCCTAGCCCACTCCTTGGAATATTAATGTTCTCTAACAAAATCGATACTTTAATTTACTTTCTTTTTAGATATAAAATGGGTGGTATTCTCGCAACAAGCGTGATAACCCTTTGCGCTCGAGAGGTGAATATTTTGTTTAATACAATAATTTGAAATAAGCATTTTTTAACTGATTCGGATAACGCGTAGTTATCCAACGCGTGGTAATGCAACGCGTGATAATCCTACGTGTAGTAATCCAACGCGTAGTAATACAACACGTAGTAATACAGCGTGTGGATATCCAACGCGTAGTAATCTGGCGCGTGCATATTCAACGCGTAGTAATCCAACGCGTAATAATGCAACGCGTGGTGATTCTAAACGTAGGAATCTAATGCGTGGTAATCTAAAACGTAGGAATCTAATGCGTGGTAATCTAACGCGTAGTAATCCAGCGCTTGGATATCTAACGCGTAGTAATCCAGCGCTTGGATATTCAACACGTGTTAATCCAACGTGTAGTAATGCAACGCGTGATAATTCTAAGCGTAGGAATCTAATGCGTGGTAATACAACGCATAGTAATCCAGCGTATGGATATCTACCGCGTAGTAATCCAGCGCTTGGATATTCAACGCGTGTTAGTCCAACGTGTAGTAATGCAACGCGTGGTAATTCTAAGCGTAGGAATCTAACG